GCGTGAGACAGAGGCGTCGGGTCAGGAGACACAGGAGGAGTAATAGGAGGGGAACGAGGGGGGAAACGAGCCGAGGACGAGTCCGGTGGAGGAAACACAGGACCATGGACCGGAAGAGGAGGAGACGGCGAGGGAGGCGCAGGCGAGCGATCAGGGGAGGGAAGGCCAAGCATGCGAAGGGAGGACACCGGCAGCGACTGCTTCTGCTGCTGTTCGACGCCGACACTTGGACCACTAGGTGCACCACTGCTACCTCCTGAACACTCCACGTCAGCACCCCAAGAACGAGAAACCTCTCTAGCGCTGGTGCCACCCCCGAGCCCGCCAGGACAAGCCACGAAAGGAGCGCAGGACTAGCACCCTCCTCAACCCCTGCACCCCAGAGTCCACGAACGCCTGCAGGTGCGGCGACGGCTGCGGCTGGTGTAGCGGCGACAGCAGCGGCAGCGACTGCGACAAGGGAGGAGGAGAGACCGAGGGAGGGACAGGCTGCGTAGACGGCGCCGCGGGGCCACCAGAGTCTACCGACTCCTCGGCTGGGGCAACCGACGGGAGGGGAGTGACGTGAGAGACACCAGACGGAGCAGGACGGGGAGGGAGGGGAGCAGGGGCGACCAAGGAAGTGGGAACCAGGAACAGGGGGGGGGAAGTCGGGAGACCTCGGTGAGGAAAGCAGTGGTAAAAGGAGACAGACTCGTCGAAAGTGGCGTCACGGGAGTGAAAGAAGTGGTGAGACGACGGGTGATAAAAGTGCCAGTCAGACGAGTCAAGGGGGAAATCGAGGAAGACACAGGGGACAGTGTGGGCAGTGAGCTTGTCCGTACCAGAGGCACGAACGCGACCAAGGCACCAGGGAACCCGGTTCAAAGAAGGGTCGACAAAACCTGTGGCCGCTGGGAGCGCGACCAGAGGTTAATCTGGTGAGCAGCATAGCGAACAGCGAACGGCCACAGAAAAAGGGGTGTACTGGCATGGATCATGGAGATACGAGCCACCTCCCTGACCAAACCAATGCGTCGCTCAGTGAACCCATTCTGATGCGGGGAGTCCGGTAGGGTGTACGTCTGGGTGATGCCCTCCGCACGACAGAACTGACCGAGCCGACCAGAGGCAAACTCGCTGCCACTATCGGAGTGCAGACACAGCACAGGGAGACTGCGGTGGAGGCACACAGGTACGAGCTATGGGACAAGCTAGGAATGTCGGACTTCTGCTCAAAGGGAAACACCGTGCTATAGCGCGTGAAGTCGTTAACGAGCACAAGAAAGTAGCGCTCACGACGCCGTCCAGGGACGGGGGCTGGGCCCCAGACGTCCAAGTGCAGAGTCTGGAGGGGTGCAGTGGCAGGGCGAAGCGAGGAGTGAGGAGCACGGCGCAGCCGACCCTCAATGCAGGGCGTGCACGGCAGTGCAGGCGAGGGAGGCAGGGCAGGAAGCAACGCAAGGAGACCTAGGACAAGACCATGCTGAGACATGTGACACAGACGTGGAAGCGCGGGGTGACCTAGGCGATGGTGCCACAACAGAAATGGGTGAGTGAGCGACCGACACGAGCAGGCCGCAGCAACCTGGGTGGACGCAAGACCGGAGGGAGACGGGGGGGGGGGAAGCAATTTCCAGTGTAAACAGGCCAGACACAGGGTCCCGAGGGAATGTCGCAAGGGGGGCACCTGAGGCGGTCTCGGTACAGACCGCGTACCGCTCGTGACCAGGGAAAGTAGGGGTGACGCCGAGGTCCTGAAGATAGTCGACACCAACTAAGTTCCGGGAGAACGAAGGGATGTGCAGGCCTGTAAGGGATCCCAAGGGAACCGTCGGACAGGGAAGGGTAGTGTAGCTGCGAGCAACTACAGGACAAGAAGAAGGGTCAGCAAGAGTGACAGCGGGCGGTGCAGCAAGCGGCGTGAGGGTGGCATGGTCACGGAAGAAACAGGCTGACGCACTGAAGTCAAGAGTGAAGGACAGCGACGCCGTAGTGGCTGACGACGGACGAGCAAGAGTAGAGCCTAGGCTAGACAAAGCAAGCTGTCCTACGCCTGACGCAGCAGGGAAGTCTGAACTACACACAAGTGCTACTCCTAAGCTAGAGAACACAGAGTAATAAGATCCGGAAACACTTGAAGTGTGAGCATACAGAGAATGCAACGCATAACTAATCTGATCCATATCTAAATCAAACACAAGCACACCGTAGCGCAGCAGACTGGGTTAGTCAAGGAGGTCCGGGGCTGGACCGAAGTGGCGACGGAAGTGGTCATCGAGGCGGCGGAAGCAGCGGGCGGTTGGGTGCGAGCGGCGGCACACCGTGCCACGGAGGGGCCCGGCCTAGAGCTGGTACTGACTACTCACAGCACCGAAGCCACCGGTGGATGCCACGCTGCGAGGGCCACCACCGCGACCACCACCTCCTGGGGCTCCTGGCCACCCCGGCGGGAGGCGAGCCCATGGCTTCTGCTGCTGGTGTTGCTGCTGATGCTGCTGCAACTGCGGCGACTGCTGCTGCTCCTGAGCACCAGCTCCAACCCCCTCGTCAGAACCACTGTCCCCACCACCGCCACCACTAGCGCCACCACCACGTCCTCCCTTATGGCCACGGCAGCCCCAGCGCTGGCGCTGCTGTGGGTAAGCCGCAGCTGTTGTCTCAGGGGCAGGCGCAGTCGTGGCAACTGCGGCTGAGACGTCAGCGTACGTACACTGGGAGGGAGCACAGCCCTGAAAGATAGGGAATGCCGCAACACCGCTCGGCTGAGCGATAGTGCGCTGGCGAGTCTCTATCTCAGACAGAGTAGTGACAAAGGCGGTCAGGGTGAGGTCAGCAGGGTGCTGACTAAGGAAGTGGTCGCGGGCAGTGGCTAAGCGGTCATGCAGGCGCATGGCAATGAGGTACAGGGTAGCACAGAAGGGCAGGGGGAAGGTAGTAAGCTGGGCGGCAGAGCTAGCAGCGCGGTAGCTGGTCTCTAGTGCACGGAGGTGAGTGGCGAGGTTTGCTACAGTGGGGAAAGCGGAAAGATCCGGGAAGAGCATGGGAAGGATCAAGCGGCCAGCAGAGGCGGAAGCAGGTGTGGAGTAACGCTCAACTACTGCAGCGAGAAAGTCCTTGGCGTTCGCGACAGCAGTGAAGCGCGGACGCTCAGACAGGGGAAGAGCATGGCTAATGGCAAGCTGCGCTACAGCATTGCGAGAATCGTAGACAGCTCAAACAAGCGCAGCAGCAGCAAAGGCCTCGCTCTCAGCAGTGGTAGGGTCAGCAGGGAGTGGATCAGGCGCGGGGGGGCGGGGGAGCAAGCCATCAACATTCATAGCCAGGGAGTGCCCATCCTGGCGCTGACCTGTCAGGAGCTGGCGGAGGTCGACGAGCCAGGCGGCGAAGTCGATTGGATGCCCCTCAACGTCCAAGCGAAGAACGGCGTCCGCCATCGCACAGTGGGACAGCGGCACAGCGGCTCTGCGGCGAAGCGGCACAGCGACACGGCGGCTCGGCGGCTCGGCTCGGCGGCTCGGGCGACGAGGCCGGCTAGAGCGCAAGGAGCCGGCTAGGGCGAGCAAGGTCGGCAAGGGCGCGTGGGGCCGGCTAGGGGGGCGAGGAGCTGGTAGGGGCGCGAGGGGCAGGTAGGAGCACGAGGGGCCGTAGGGGCGCGACGGGCCGGCTAGGGGCGCGAGGGGCCGGTAGAGGCGCGACGGGGCCGGCTAGGGGTGCGAGGGGTTGGTAGAGGCGCGACGGGGCCGGCTAGGGGCGCGAGGGGCCGTAGGGGCGCGACGGTGCCGGCTAGGGTGCGACGGGGCCGGCTAGGGGCGCGAGGGGCCGTAGGGGCGCGCGGGGCGGAAGCGGGTGGGTGGACTTACCTACTCGTGATACCATGTTAAGACTAGAAGGAATGATTAGAACAAGGGAGAACATGGGAGATATAGCGTTTGGGTTATACCCACTAAGAGCATACCCTGTCTAGCCTATAACATCTACAAAACAAAATATATATAAATTGACAGATACCATGTTATAATACAAGGATTAGTAGAAGCAAGTGAGAACAAGGGAGATATAGAGTTGGTATTGTACCCTCTACGGACATACACCTATCTAGCCTATAACATATACATACAAACATTTGTATAAGTTGACAAGACATACATCCAGGAATGAAGGGGAGTGTTGAAGTATACTCGACAGAGTTTACTTATGCATTCCTGATATAACATTTAGACTATACCAGTAGCGCGATACCTCATATGGAAGGGTGTACGTGATGACGTGAGCAGTGGCGAGTGAACACGTGAATAGTAGGTTCATGCGTATAGTCACTCGAAGGGTCACGCCACTCTCAGTCACACGAACAGCCATTAGTCATGTCACGCGAATAATCGCGATACACTACGAACATGTACATTCCGAATAGGTACTTCCTGGACTATAAATATGTATATATTACTCATTATCCTTATCATTTCAGACATTTCCAATACAATGTGTAAAGATTTTTGCTGACTTTTACTCGTGGTTCCACCAAATCTAGATCCTGGCCACCCTAAACACGTGGTTCACTTCTACAATTTCCGTCAACGACGGATTTCAAAATGTTTTCAACACCCCGCCCACGAAAATCCACAGGCAACACCAAAATCAAATATCGGTAAGAGTGTGGCGAAATCACCAAATTCCCAACCAATCACGTGCCTCGTTCTTTCCATATCACCTCGTTAAACTCTGCAATACCCAACTACCTCTACGGGTTCAGGGTTTTTTTTTTCAATCTTTAAGAATGAAATTATATTGAAAGAGGTAGTAAGATCATTATATATGCTGGTCATCTCATTGTATTTGAAGTGCTGTTTGGCTGGACCCAATTTAGCGAAGCGGTACGGCTTCACCTCGTGTTTTTGTGGGTTTCAATGCGTTACAACGTGGTGCGAAGAGCTGTCATGAGCGGCATGGACACATCGGCGAACTCTGGAAATACTCCATAAGCCCCTAAAATCCTTCGTTCCACCTGAATGTGCTGCAGACTACATAAGGGCTATTACCCTTTCCCACCTCGCTCGGCTCCTCGCGCACAGCCATTAGCGGAAGCCAACATTTTGACAAGTAGTCGTCATCGTGAAATCGTCATGGCTGGAGAGGGTGAGAACAAGGAAGTTGAAGCAGCTGCTCCTCCGCTCGAAACCACCACCGCAGCGGCCGACCAGGCGGAGAAACCTAAGGAGCCCGAGGCGGCCGGCGGTGATGCCGCGCCAGTCGCGGAGGACACCGCGGGTAAAAAGCGGAAGGCGGAAGGGGAAGCGGGGGAAGAAGAGGCCGGCGCTAAGGAGGCCGATGAGGTGAAAGCTAGTGAGGAAGGAGTTAGCGGAGACGGCGGCGATGCTGAGGGGAAGAAGAAGAAGAGCGGTCCCGTGGTTCTAGGACCGCAGACATTCGCAACCGGGCTTCAGATGTTCAATTTCTTCCTCGACCTGCTCCGCGGCTGGCCTGTCAACCTGGACATTAACCAGGTGAGTCAAGCGGCTAGGAACTAACCGCACGGTATCTTGGTGTATGTTTGCGCGCCTACGGGAACATGCCCTTCGGTTAGCGTAAACCCTTGTTCGCGTCCACATCCAGGGCTTTTCCGAGGTGGGGGGGGAGGGGGGGGGGGGGGGTGGGGGTGGGGTTATACTGAGGGTTTAGTTGTTTCATCCCACTGGGCCACCCTGTGGGATCTGATCGTTGCCGTCCTCACGCCAGCCCGTCGGCCCGTGAAAAGTCCGTCGGCCCGTCTAAAGTCCGTCGGCCCTGCTCCCTTGAACCCTGTCCCTCTGCCCTACCAACAGTATTCCCTCACTTCTCCCATGTCCTTCTGTAAATTTTTAATAAAGCTCGCTTTCCCATGTCTCCCCTCTGCCTACAGTACGAGCACATGGTGCTGCTAGACCTGCTGAAGAAGGGCCACAGCGACCCCACGTCCAAGGTTGGAGCGGGCGTGCGGGCCTTCCAGATACGCCCGCACCCGCAGTTCCACTCGCGGTGCTTCTTCCTGGTGCGCACGGACGGCACGGTGGACGACTTCAGCTACCGCAAGTGCGTCGAGTCCCTCATGGGTCTCCCGCAGGAGTTCACGCTCAGTGCGGCTAAGGAGTGGGATGGTGGTGATGGGGGAGGGCATGGCGGCGGTGGTGGTGGGTGGAGAGGGAGGGGCCGGGGAAGAGGTGGCCGTGGTGGGCGGCCGTTCAAGAGGGGAAGGGGGAGATGGTAATTGTAGTGGGGAGGACAGCATTGTGCATATGGGGGTGGACAATGTGTTTGCTTCCCATGTGCAATATTGTAGCGCATATTATAGATGTATGGAAGGTCAATGTAATTTTGGAGGGCTTTCATGCGTAAATGCACATCCGCACGCCCCAAAGGTTGGTGTACCCGATTGTGCGAGATGCGTCCCCTGTTTTCACCTTCAAAACACCTGAATCGAGTACCGAATGAGCCAATATGGACACCCTTCCTCCACGAAAGTTCAGAACACGTTTCTTGTGGAACCTCTGGAGCTCTTACTGAAAGCGTTGTGGTCTCCGCCATGCGCTGTTTACGGCGAATGGCGGCATGGCCCTTAGTGGGAGCTCGAGTGTCCCCACTCATGCCATTTGCTCGCAGCCTTACGACGAGCAGCGGAGGCGATGGCGACAGCGACTCGTTCGCTGCTACAGACACCGATAGTAGCCATGCGAATGCATGGAAGGAGTTAGAGGCTATGCTCGTGTGCCCTCTTTCGAAAGAACCGCTGAGGCAAGCCGTTTATTTTACTGCCTTGAATCTCTCGTGCATTGTGTCGTTCGCGCTCCACCCCTGTACAAAACCTGCCGGTACCATGTCGTTCTCAGATTTCTAGGTTCTGTCGCATGTGTCGCCTTCACGTCCCTACAACAAACGTTTTTGTGTTCCACCTGGACGATTTGCTCTGTCTCACGAGCTATCAGGTTCGACAGTACAACATCTGAATACATCAATGACTCGATTGGTGTAGCCTATCCTGTAAGCCAACCATTCTTGAGTGCTGTCTGTGCTCTTTTCTCTCCCACCAGCTTCCTCCCTCTTCCTGTACTATTGTTCCCTTCCCGAATAAGTTCAGTGTGCGTGCGATCCAGCGTGAATCATTCTCTGTACCTCTCCCGTCCATTGCTCAGGTTGTAAATGGAATTCCCTTCCTGTCTCCACACCATGGAAGAATCCTCTCATCCTCGTCTAAGTTACCTACCTGTGAATGACAAGCAATGACCTAGCCCATTCTGGCGTTTTGACAAGCATTGGAGTAGCATATACAGGATCTAGTGTAAGTCTTATCCTGCCGATGTTCTGTACAGCAACGAGAAAGGGCCAGCAACAAACGACTAACCTAAGCTAGCAAAAGCGGTGCATGCATGTGCAATAATGTGTTCCTAGAGGACTTCGTGATGAAAGATAAGTTGCTTAGATGGTGTATGATATTATCGGTAGTGATGAGTAGAGGATATATACGTTCATATGAGTTTAGGTATTCGTACTGAAACTGTGTGACGTAAGATCGCCTGCTTTCGTTTGTGGGTGGGAAGTCCCGAGAAATTCAACAAAGGTGGGAGCGACAGCACAAGTGACTCGTGGCAGAATCGGGGGCCGACAACCATACACCTTCTAACCACATCATCAGTAGCTTGTCGTTTTTCCCTGGAGGACCACGTCGACACCGCGAAATGGGAGCATAGACGAAGTGCATTCACTTTCGCCACAAGCCTGCCCCTTCCGCCAGCACTGGGACTTTCGTGTGCCCCCGCGGCGGCGCGACGCGACGCGATGATCAGCAGCGCAAGCCATCACTGGACTGGGGCAGCCGAGCCCATGCATCAGCGAAAGATACACTGCAGAAACAGAAACCCGTCAAGCACCACCCAACCAACCACCCGTGGCTGCAGTTTGGCCTGGTGGTGCTTGTGGCTCCGCGAGCTTTCGCCACATTTTCGCTTGGCTTCGTGAAACGTCGGTTAGGCAGGGAGGTGGCGGCTCCAAGCCAACACACATCACCCCCGCCACACAATCTGCCCACAGCCTCCACCCCCCCACCCCTTGCCATTCTCCACCCTCTTCCTCCTCCGTTCTGTTCATCATGCTCCATCTTGTTCTTATCTTGCAGTGAGATAGTGAATCGTGACCCTCTTCCTCTCGGTGCTGCTCTCGTCTCTTTAGCTGCAGGCATTACCCGTGAGGAAGCTGTTTTGACGAGTGCAGGCGGGGAATCGCCGTTAGGCGCCATGGGGGAGGGTATTCGAGACACGGGTCATGACTTGCAAAATGGAGCGGGTTCCGCTAGTCGAGCCGAGCAGGAGGCGATGATTGGCGGGGAGGCGGGAGGACCGGAAGATAGACGGACACAAGACGGAGCGACGGACAAGGCAACTTCAGGAGGCGAAGCGGAAGGCGGACCCAGCAGCAGTAATGGGCCGACGACTGCGGAGAAAACGGATCGCCATTCCGAGGCACGTGCTTGCTCGCAGTCGCCTGCTTTTCTCTATTACTTACGGTCGCCGTTCCACTCAAAGCACACTTCTTCAATTATGTCACTATGAGGCCTCTAGGTGTATCCAGTCGGTGTAGCCGCCACCTCCCTCCACGCTCGCTATTCCCACCAGCTACTCTCCTTCGTCGTACACCCCACTGCGACAATTTCGAAGTTCGCAACTCTGTCTAGCATCGCGGGCCGTGTGTATCGCAGACTTGGCCGTTAGAGCGTTCTGTGCCGCTGGGCCTGATGGAAAGGCAGACCACAGCTGCTGCTGTGGTCTGTAGTAGGAGCGGACCACGCCTCGATGTGAAGCAGTGTGAAGGCTGAGCTCCGCTCCCCGCTGTGGAAAGCAGAATCCTGCAGCCCACCGCACGGGCGATTTGATGTTCGATGCACGACTCGATTAGCGCGAATCCCGTTGCGTCGGCACCGCAGCGTGTCCCGTCGCCGGTTTTTCAGAAGTTGCCTGGATCGGCTCTTGCCGCTGCTACATAGGACAGGAACCGATGGGCGTATAGCCGTCGGTTTTCGCAGGCAGGACCCTGACGTATTGTGGGTCTTGTGCGATTGTGTGGTGTGGTGTGCGCAGGAAGGGGAGGAGGAGGAGGAGGAGGAGGAGCACGTGGAGGTATCACCGGAGGCGAAGGCCAACCCCCTCTCCAAGCTCATCTTCTGGTACGTCGTCTCCTCCTAGTGCCCGCCTCCCCTCCCCGCCTGCCGCTCACCTCACGCGCACTCGCACTGATGCGCTCGCGTTTTCTCTCGTTCTCTCACATCTTTCTGCCTGGCCAACCTCGCCGTTTCCGCGCAATCATCGCCGTCTTTCCTCCTCTCTCTTCCCCACACCTCCACCCCCACCCCTCTCCCCCTCCTCCCCCACGTATCTGTCCCCGCGCGCGCAGGTGGTTGAACCCGCTGATGAACGCGGGGTACCGCAAGCCGCTGGAGCAGGCGGACCTGCCGCCGCTGCCGCCGTGCGACGACGCCAAAGCCGTGTCCGTGAAGTTCGCGCACGTGTGGGCGGAAGAGATCCACAAGGACAAGTAAGCCTGCGCCTGTTCCGCGCAAGAACGTGCGCGATATTGGGGGCTCTTTCACTCTAATCCTCCCGCCTGATGTGCGCGACACTGACGATTGCCGTGCGCTGCGCTCTTCCTGCTGTGGTCGTGCTGCCAGCCAGTCGTGCTCAAAGTGCTGTGCTCTTACCGCTGCTCTCAAGCTGCTTCGGTCGTGCTGCCATCGCGTCTCGATTCGCCCCGTCTCCCCGCTTCCAGCTCTCCTCCCCCAAACCCTCACCGCACCCCCTGCCCCCTGCCCCCTGCCTCCCTGCTGTGCCCGCCACCGCCCCTGCAGGCCGTCGCTGACGCGCGCGCTGTTCCGGTGCTTCCGCTACCGCCTGATCATCGGCGCGCTGGTGCAGTTCGTGAACGTGCTGCTGCAGGCCACGCCGCCCATCTTCCGTACGAGCCCGCCCCACCACTACTACCTGCCCCAAGTTTCACTTCCCCCCTCTCTCCGCTCCTCTCTCTCCCTTCCCCTAGAGTTCTTTCCCCTTAATCTCCTTAGTCACTCGCCTCACTCCACGTCTCGCCCATTCCTATCGTAACTCCTGTCTCTCGCTCCACTCGTCCTCCGTGTGTCTGCGTGAGCAGTGAACGCGGTGCTGCTCTTCATACAGGGCACGCCAACCGACCATTTCATGAAGAAGATCTTCGGTACGCCCCTCAACCATCAACTCAGCCACCTCCTCGTATCCACCCGTTCCCCCGCTTTCCACCACCTCCCCCCCTGCCATTCCTCCTCTCCTCTCCACCCCTTTCGTCCTGCACCCTCCCAACCCTGTCTCCATCCCTCCATCCCTCCATCCCTCCATCCCTCCATCCCTCCACCCCTCCACTTCCCTCTTGAATCGCGCGCCCATTCAAACCCCACGCCCCTCGTTCTCTTTGTCAGGTGACAAGCAACTTCCGTGATGCCCGCAGCAGTGCTGCAGTAGTGCTGTTCGTGATGCCCGCAGTGATTATTCAGTCGACTCACAAACCCCCCTCCTCCCCCCCTCCTCCCCCCCTCCCACCCCCTTCCTCACTTCTCTCAGGTGACAACTTTGGGTACTACTCTGCAGCGGCACTGTTCGTGGTGCCCACAGTGCGGTCGCTGCTAGACGCACAATACAACAACATCATGTTCCGACTCGGCGTGCACGTGAGTCGTCCATGCATGCATGCCTACATGCCCCCACTTGCGTGCCTGCTCCGCACTGCTCCACTTCCGCACTGCACTCCTTTCTTCATGCTGCTCCCCTCATGCCCCTCGCCCTCTGCTGCCTTCGCTCTGGCCCACTCTATGCGTCCACCTTCGTTCTTGCCATCTCGTTTAACGGTTCTAATCTAATGCCACAACCTTGAAGTCCGAGCGCCCTCCCCCCCCCTACTTATATAAGCCCCATCCTTTCGCAATTTAAGCCCACCCTCTGTTACCTCTCAGCGGCCAAGTACCTACCCTTCACGGCGTGTGCGTGACTGGTGAGTGCAGGTGAAAACGGCGCTGGTGGAGATAGTGTACGACAAGTCTCTCAAGCTGTCCAACGGCGCTCGCCAGGGCAAATCCGTGGGGGAGATCGTCACTCTCATGCAGGTGCGTGTGATGTGGTGGGGCCCCCGCACTCGCTCAAACGAACGCGTGACCATACTCACTCTCATGCCTTGACTGCACACTCGCCTCTCACCGCTGCTCACTGCTCCACCGCTCGCCAGTCTCACTCACCTCATCCCGTCCCCTCTCTGCTCGTTTCTCATTCATAACCCTCGTCCCCCCTTCCCTCCTTTTCTCCCTACACCCCTCTTCCCCCTCTTCCCCCCTTCCCCTTCCCCCCTTCCCCTTCCCCCTTCCCCTTCCCACCGCCCCGTCTCACCGCCCCTGCCGTCCGCTCTCCCCCATGTGTCACTGCTGCAGGTGGATACGGAGAAGGTGTCTATGACCACGCCATTCCTGCACTTCACTTGGAGCGGCCTCCTACAGGTAATGTGGCCGCCACATCCCTGCCCCACTGTCTCCCCTTCTCTCCCCTTCTCTACCCTTCTCTCCCCGTCTCTTTCCCCTCTCCCCGTCTCTCCCTCTCCCCGTGTCTCCCCTCTCTCCCCCTCTCTCCCCTCTCCCCCCTCTCTCCCAACCTACCCGTTGCCTCTCGTTGTAGCCATACTCAAGCTGTTGATTGTCTTGCCGCCCCCACCTCAAGAACGCACAATCACGTTGCATCCTCCCCTGCGCATCTCCCCTGCGCGTCCCCCCTGCGTGTCTCCCCCTGTGCACCATGGTGTGTGTGTGTGTGTGTGTGTGTGTGTGTGGGTGTGGGTGTGTGTGTGCCACATGGCAGATCTTCATCAACCTGGGGCTGCTGATCTACTACATCGGGTGGAGTGCTGTCGCCGGGTTCGCGCTGCTCATCATCACGATCCCCACACAGGTGCGCTCGCCCCTTCCTTCCCTCCCACTCACTCACACTGCGTCACGTGCACGGGGCGAAAGTTCTTAAGCCCCACCTCTAGGGGGCGGTTAGGCGCGTGAGGCGCGTGTGTTGTTCACATGGAGGGAGTGGATGAGACCGTGGGTTGTCATCATGAGCATGCTGGTTGTGGCATGGCCTGGAAATCATGCGCACATTCTTCCCTGGCAGCAGCTCTCCTCTTCGCAGCATGCTGATTTGCTACCTTCGCTTTCACCAGTCGTGTCTGCGATCTGCTCTTCTAACTGCATCTATGTGCGACCACCCTTCCTCCTCCCACACCCCCCCCAAACCCTGCCCCTCTCTCCATGCAATTGTGTAAGCAGGGCAAGTTGGTGAGTCTGCTGCTGGCGATGCAGAGGAAGATTCTGCTCAACACGGGCAGGCGAGTCAAGGTGCGCTCACATCACATGCACCCCACCCCTGCTGCTGTTCCATCCCCTGCTGTCTGCGCTGCTCTGCTCAATGCCGCCAAGCCAACCGCCTGCCCTTTGGTCAAGTGTCACCATCCACCGTGCCGCTTGTGGCGCCCAACCCACCTTCTATTGGATGCCACGTGGACCCCCTTCCCTTATCTCCCTCTCATGCACCGTTCTCTCTCCTTACCTCCTCTCTCCTCACTACCCTTCTCCCCTCTTCCCCCCAACCCCCTCTCCCAGCCCTCAACCCACCCCCCCCCGCCCCCTGCCCCACCTTTCTCTTCCGCCACTCATCCCCCAGGTGACCAACGAGCTGCTGCAGGGCATCCGCGTGGTGAAAGGCTACGAATGTTTTGCTATGAGACATCGCTAACCAGAACTTCTCCCTACTTTTCCTCCCTCCCCCCCCCTCCCCCCTTCCCAGGTGATCAACGAGCTGCTGCAGGGCATCCGCGTGGTGAAGTGCTACGCGTGGGAGCAACCGTTCACAGCGGCCATAGCGGGCATCCGCAGCGTGGAGCTCAAGGCCATGAGGAGCAGAGTGTGGCTGCGCGCTGTGCAGACGTGCTTCATGCTCGCCACGCCCACGCTCATCATGGTGGTGCGTGCCTGCTGCCTGCCCACGCCCATGCCCATGCCCACGCCCATGCCCATGCCCATGCCCATGCCCATGCCCATGCCCATGCCCATGCCCATGCCCATGCCCATGCCCATGCCCATGCCCATGCCCATGCCCATGCCCATGCCCATGCCCATGCCCACGCCCACGCCCATGCCCATGCCCATATGCTCACACACACCTGCACCCGTGTTGAAGCAAGCTCTTGGATCCTGAAACCCCCCGCGAACTGTGAAGGGTGCAGAAGACGTGCTTCATGCTCGCAACGCCTACCCCCATCATGTTGGTGCGGGCCCGTCTATTTTTGAGGCGCCTCAAAAATAGCCACCCCCATCATGTTGGTGCGTGCCCGTCCCAATAAGCGCCCTTCCCAACTGTGTCCCTTGCCCTCTCCCATGCCTGGCCCCCATCTTCCCCACTCCCCTCCCTCCCCCCTCCCCCCCCCCCTCCTCCCCCCCTCTCTCGCCCCCTCCCTTCCCCCCACCATGCAGGTGACGTTTGCGTTCTACTCGGAGGTGGCGCACGGCAACATGATGGCGTCCACTGTCTTCACCGCGCTCTCGCTCTTCAACTCGCTGCGCATCCCCCTCATGATCTGTGCGTATCAGCCTCCCTCGTGACATGTGCGCTTATTGCCCCTCTCACGATGTCTGCTCCCTCGCTTTCAGCGAAGATCAATGGTTAGAAGCATCCCGTCCATCGCTGTTTTCGTTACTGATATACCTTCGTGTGTGTCCCTCTGTGTGTGCGCCTGTGGGTGTGTGCATCAGATCCGTTTGTCATCAACTCCGTCCTGGCAGGACATGTGAGTGATGCCTCCTTCCTCACACCCTCTCACATGCGCTTCCCTGCATCAACACGCGACTCAGCTCAATGCCATACCACCATCAACCCCAAGCTCTATGATGTCCCCGTGTCCCCCTTCCCACACCATCCATGTCTCCACTCCGCACAACCTGTCGTGTCCGCTAGATCCCAGTCTCTTTGAGTGCTATGATATCTCCTTGTGAATCATCATCAGCAACTATGAATGAGCGCTCTCCAACTTTCTTTTTTCAATTTGCTTCCTCTCGCCCTGCTGCACACTGCGTCTTAACTCTGAACCCTGCCACAGGTGTCGCTGCAACGCCTGGGCAAGTACCTTTCGAGTGCGGAGATGCAGCACGTGGAGAAGAACGAGGATAAGGGCGATGACCCCGTCGCTGTCTCCATCGACCATGGCAACTTCCAATGGTGCGCCATTCCTCCTCCTCCTCCTTCTCCTCCTCCTCCTGCTCCTCCTCCTCCTCCTCCTCCTCCTCCTCCTCCTCTTCCTCCTGCTCCTGCTCCCTTCAGCCTTCCCATCGCATCTCTCCCGTGATGACCCCTTCATTGATTCCTCCACTCGTTCTCGCCCTGCTTCTCTCGGCCACAGCAACGTCCACCAGTGGTGGTACACACCATGCATGCCCCCTGCTCCCCCGCCGCACGCATTTCTCTCTCCTCCCTCCCATGCCTCATTCCTGCGCATGAGAATGCCCTCTCTGCCACTGCTCGTCCTGCGTCTCCACCCTCTTCCCCTCCCACCCTCACTGCCCCACCCAATCCCCCCGCTTCTTGTGTCCCTCTCTGCCCCGTGTCCCCCCTCCGCCCCCGTCCTTGCCGCCCAGGTCCACGGCCAAGCCCCCTGCAGCATCGTCGTCCAAGCCAGGCGGCTCCAAGGTGGCTCCCGGCATGGGCGGGGGCTTCGGTGGGCCCATGGGCATGGCAGGGGGAGGACCCCCAGGCTCAGCTCGCTCTGGTCAGTGTTGTGCAGTGTGGTGGGGTGCGGTGCAAGAGGAACGGGTGTTTATGATGTTGATAAGCTTTATTAGAATTTAGAGGTGCTGTATGCAGGCACCGTGCGCCTTTAATGTAATGCCAATCGAGGTCATACATGCCAGGCATCTTCTACATAAGTTCCCATAATTTCTTCCTCACTAGCTCCTCTCCTCCTTCCCTTCCCTTGCCTGCCATCCCATCCCATCCCATCCCATGCCATGCTGTGCCTTGCGCTTCTGCACCACTGCACCAGCCGCCAGCAAGGCGGGCGGGCAGGAGGCGAAGGGCAAGCAGGGGGGGAAGAAGGGGTGGTGGCGATGGGGCAAGTCCAAGGCAGTGGCAGCTGAGAAGGTCGGCGAGGGGGCGGAGGAGAAAGGCAGTGGTGGTGCTGACGTGAAGGACAAGGGCAAGGAGAAGGAAAAGGAGAAGCCGTTTGCTCTCATTGACGTCAAGATCAGCGTGCCACGGTGTGTGCCCATCCCATCCCATCCCTCCTCTTGCGCCCCTCATCTCCCTTCATCTCTTTCTCCGTGTGCCCATCTGTCCACCTGCTCTCCCACGCATCACAGTTGCTTCACAGTGTACGTCTCGCTCGCTCTCTGCTGCTCTCCGGTCGCTGCCTGCATCCCCCTCCCATGCTCAAGTACCAGCCCTTGCGTGTGCCCATCATCGCGTGTGCGTCTCCACCACGACTTGTTGGGTGTGATGCATGGCATGACATGGCATGACATGGGAGCAGGGGGTCACTGTTCGCCATAGTGGGGTCCGTGGGCAGTGGCAAGAGCTCGCTCATATCAGCCATCCTCGGGGAGATGGAGGCACAGCGAGAGGACGAGGAGGGGGGTGGAGCACGCAAGAGCACAGACCGCAAGAGTGGGGAGAGGAGGAGGAGCAGCGAGAGGAGGAGCAGCGAGAGGAGGAGGAGTGGGAGTGAGGGCGGGGTGGCCAATGGGGAGAACGAGGAGGACAAGTGCCGTGTGGCTATCAACGGTTCTCTCGCATACTGCAGCCAGCAGGTGACGCCATGACCATAAGAATGCTGCATTTGTGTGCTGCCTTTTTCTTGTCGAGCTGCCATCTCCGATGTCACTTTCAGGCAAGCTAACTGCTGCTTACCCGTTTTCCCATCTCCCTTTCTGTCAACCTCCTGGTGTTCCCTTCTGTGTCTGTGTGTGTGTGTGTGTATACATGCGTGCATGCGTGCGTGCGTGCGTGCGTGGCAGGCGTGGATCATGAACACGTCCCTGAGAGAAAACATTCTGTTCGGCCACGAGTACGAGGAGGACCGGTACAACGCCATCCTCGACGCATGTGCTCTCAGGAAGGCAAGCCCTTGCTCGACTCCTCCCATCCACCCCAACCCTTCCACTGCCATGTTACACTGATGGGCACTCCCACTCACACAATTCACTGCCCTGCCCATCACGGGAGTGCCTGCCTCGTGCCATTTCTCATCCCACCCAACCGACGTCTTCCTTCCACCTGCTAGCCACTCATACAAAGACTGCCATCAGCCCGCCCTCTTCTTCATCGGACGTCCTGCACGCTTCATCAAGTACCCTCACTTGCTCTCCCTTCCCTCCCATATCCCACCCTCTCCGCGCACCCAGGACCTAGCAGCGCTGCCAGACGGCGACAGCACGGAGATTGGCGAGCGCGGGATCAACCTAAGCGGCGGGCAGAAGCAGCGCGTGGCGCTGGCGCGCGCCGTGTATGCGGACACGGACATAGTCCTGCTGGACGACCCTCTCTCTGCTGTGGACGCGCATGTGGGCGCGCATTTGTTTGAGCGCTGCGTGCGCGGGATACTGGAGAACAAGACCAGGGTCTTTGTGACCAACCAGGTGAGGGGGGAGGGGAGAACGGTTGCTGAGCATGTGACGGGATATGATGGGATGCATGTGGCTCATGTGTTGGCATGAATTCTATCCTTGGGGTACACACCATTAATCTTCCCACCCTCCCATGTGCTCTCTCCCCCAATCAACCTGTGTGTGTGTGTGGCAGCTCAACTACGTGCCTGAGGCGGACCTGATAGCAGTGGTGGACAAGGGAACGGTGGTGGAACAGGGCACGTACAAGGTGAGTGACCTACAATGGGGCTGCAGCAGCAGCAGCAGCAGCAGCAGCAGCACTCACCTGCCATGACACTGTGCTGCCGCACTTGTATCGTGAACAGCAGGGCACATGCCTGTATAGTAGCCTGCCTCTAGCCTGCCTGTCTAGTTTCCCGACGCCTGGTTCCTACCCGTACTTCCCAACCTCTGCTCTCCTACGTGCGCTCTCTCCATCCCTCCCTCACCGCCCTCCAGGATCTGATGGCGCGGGGTGGCATGTTCGCGCGCCTCATGCTGGAGAGTGGCTCGCACAAGCACGCCCCCAACGCCCTAGATGGGCCCGATGCCGCATCCTCCTCCTCCTCCTCGCCTGCTGAGCCTGCTTCCAAGCAGCTCTCGCGCCTCGTGTCGCGGGGCAGGCAGTTGGGCGGTTCTAAGGTCAGTCAGCCCTGCTCTGCTGTGGGCATGCCCCCACACTGCGTGCCCGCTCTCTGCCTTTGGTTTGGTCTCTCTTTCGTGCCACATTTCTCTCTTGTGATGTCTCTCGTGTGATGGTAACCTCATTATGCCTTCGCTCTCTGAATCTCCTCCTCCCCTCTTCTCCCCCCCCTTCCCCCCTCCCCTTCCCTCGTCCCCCTGTCCGAACATCAGGCTCGCACTCGCTCTATGAGTCGCAGAGCGTCATTCTCCACGCAGGTACTGCATATGATGGTGTGTGGGATGTGATGTGATGTGCATGTTGACCTTGTGATGCGCCTGTCAACCTCGCATGCCCTATGAGCGCAATCATGGTACCCATGCGCTTCCACACAGATCCCACACTCTATCACCAGCAGCATGATCCATCCATATGCTTACTAGTCGTCTCTGTGTGTGCCTCTCTGCGCGTGCCTCTGTGTGTGTGCCACAGGGCACTCTGGTGGATCAAGAGGCAAGGGCCAGAGGCGTGCTCAAAATGGAGGTAACCCCCGCACCTCCCACCCCCACTCCCTTGTCACACCACCCATCATGCACCCACTCCCTACCCCACCCTCTTACGGCGTCTGCACCCATTGCTCCTCCTCCTAACCTCCCCCCCCTCCCCCCCCCTCCCCCCCTCCCCCCCTCTCACACCCTTCTCTCTGCCCTCCCTCTCCCACTCTCTTTCTCTCTCTACATGCCTTCATTGTTCTCTCGCCTGAACCCACCATTCGCACCCGTCCCCCATCCTCCCCCCCACCAGGTGTACTGCCGCAAGTACTGGCTGGAGACGAGCTGGGTCATCCCAGCGGGGGTGCTGCTTTCGTTGCCATCATGCCGCCAATGCTTTCTTACTTCTCGCACCTCAACCCATCGTTCCCACCCGTCCCCCACCCATCCCGCACCCTTCCCACACCCTTCCCCAACCCGCCCCCGTCCCCCACCCGTCCCCCATCCTCCCCCCCGCCAGGTGTACCGCAAGTACTGGCTGGAGACGAGCTGGGTCATCCCCGCGGGAGTGCTGATGCTGTTTGTGATCGTTCAAGCCGTGGATGCCTTCACTCGCTACTGGCTCGCCTACTGGACCAAGAACCAGTTCAACCAGTCCGCCGGCTTCTATCTCGGTGAGGCCTTTGCCTTGATCGGCTAACTACTTGGCTTCTTCTACCCCAGGGAACTTGGTAAGCTAACTACTTGGCTGTTTTGTTTGGGTACGTAACTCTTCTTCTCATTCAGCCACCTGATCATGCACCTGCCAGCCAGTCACTTCCATCCATACTGATGCCATTCACCCCCTCCCTCCCTCTTCCACCCCCTGCCCTCCCGACTCTCTCCATGCTCGTCCCTCCTCGCCCCCCCCCCCTCTCCCCTGCAAGCCCTCCCTCCAGGCATCTACACGAATCTGGCCGTACTGTACTTCTCACGGGCACCCCCTTTCTCTTCTCATCCTGCCCTCCCACTTCCTCTCCTCCCCTCTCCAACCCCCCCATCCCACCCCCCCTTCCCCCCCTCCCCACGCGACCAGGCATCTACGCTTCTCGCCAAGCTCTACACAGTTCTGGTTTTATCCCATTGGAAACATTGCCACCCTGCTCTTCCTGCTTTTATGCTGCTGCTCTCCCATTCCCAACCCCCGCTTCCCCCCCCCCCAGGAATCTATGCCTCATTGTCCATGCTGTACACCATCCTGGTGTACTTCCGCACGCTGGGGCAGGCGTTCCTGGGGCTGTTTTTTAGTCGACTCAAAAGCCGTTTCCTTCTCCCCCCCCCCCCAGGCATCTATGCCTCATTGGCCATGCTGTACACCATCCTGGTGTACTTCCGCACGCTGGGGCAGGCGTTCCTGGGGCTGTGGACGTCCAAGAAGCTGCATGAGGGCATGCTGTCGTCTGTGCTGCGTGCGCCCATGTCCTTCTTCGACACCACGCCTGTCGGCCGCATCCTCAACCGCTTCAGGTGGGCTTGCTCGGGTCATGCTCGTGCACTTGCTCTTGCTCGCCTCCTGGACAAAACCCCCTTCTGGACCATGCGCACGCTTCACCTTGTCGTTGCGTGCGTGCCTCAACCCTCTTCCCTTGCCATCCCCTCCCTTGCCTCGTTCCCACGTTCCGCTCTTACCACGTTCCGCTCTTACCACGTTCCGCTCTTACCACGTTCCGCTCTTACCACGTTCCGCTCTTACCACGTTCCGCTCTTCCCACGTTCCGCTCTTCCCTGTGCAGTGCGGACCAGGCAGGCGTGGACGAGACACTGCCCTTCTCCTGGTCCACCTTCCTCAACATCCTCTTCCAGGTCCCACTCCCGCCCTTCCCCATCACTCCACCTTCCCCATCGCCCCACCTTCCCCATCGCTCCACCTTCCCCATCGCTCCACCTTCCCCATTGCCAGCCATGCCCCTCCACATAGCATTGTCACAACACGCTGCTTGAATAGTCCAGAACACACTAGACTTAACGAAGCCACACTGTATAACACCAAGCTGCAGTTCCGTTCCCCATGTCACACACTCGGTGTTCCACTCCCATCTGTGCGCCCTCCCCCTCGCGTGCATGTGCAGGTGTTTGGCACGGCGATCGTCGTGGTGATCATTGTGATGATGAACTCCCACCCACGTCACACGACGATCGCCGTTGTGACCATTGTGACGTGGGTGGGAGTTCATCATCACCTTCATCCCCTCTGTGTGTAATGAGTCGATTTTTTAGTCGACTCAAAAATCGACTCATTACACTCTTCTACACAACACGGCCCCGGACCCCCTCTTTCCTCCGCCTCCTCCGTCTCCCAGTGCATGTTCACGCCACATCACCCAACGCCTCCCTCTCTCCTCCCTCACGTGCGTGGGCAGGTGTTTGGCACCATCATAGTGGTGACCATCGTGACGTGGGAGTTCATCATCGCCTTCATCCCCGTCGCATGCCTCTACTTCTGGGTCCAGCAGGTCCGTCCCGTCCCGTCCCGTCCCGTCCCGTCCCGCCCCGTCCGCCTTCATCCTGCCTTCATCCCGTCCCGTCCCGTCTGTTCCTTCCTCGCTTCCCTGCTTCCCTCCCCGTTCCCTCTTGTTGTTTCCCAATAAACGCATCCCATTCGTAGCAGAGACGCACTTCGCCATCTACCTCCTCTTCCTCTACTTCTCCTCACCTCTCCCCTCCTCCCCTCCTCCCCTCCCACCCCTCAGACGTACCGCAAGACAGCGCGCGAGTTGAAGCGGTTGGATGCGGTGAGCAAGAGCCCTGTGTACCAGCAGTTCACGGAGACGCTCAACGGGCTGCCAGTCATCCGCGCGTACAACCAGGAGGAGCGCTTCCTGCGCATGTGCGATGGTGAGTGGTGGTGTCTGTGTCATGATGAGTGTGCATGTCCTATCATTCACCATGTGTTTGTCCTTCCCTTAATCGTACCCATCATTCTCATCCCCCACCCTTCTCCCTTGCATCTCTTCCCCTTCTCCCCCCACTCGCCCAGTCGTCCCACACAGACAAGCTGGATGCCAACAACCGGGCATTCGTAATGCTCAAGTGCCTTTGGAGTCGACCCAAAAGTCACCTCGTTACAATGTCACACGATCCACCCTCCCCCACCCCCTGTGCTTGGCCCCTCAGACAAGCTGGACGCCAACAACCGTGCCTTCTTCCTGCTCAAGTGCTGCGACCGCTGGCTGTCCGTGCGCCTGGAGCTCATGGGCAACACCCTCGTCTTCGCCGCCGCCATCTTCGCTGTCAGTCCCCTTTCCACCCATCTCGTCCCCACCCTTCTGGCTTATCACTCCCCCTCTCACTCTCTCTCACTCTCCCTCACTCTCCTCTCTCAGCTCTTTCCTCCACCACTCCGTCATCCCAAGCTCTCCAAGCACCCCCCCTCTTTCGCTCTGGCCGATCCCTGCCCTGCTCTGTCGTCGCGACATCCGCTGTGCAAACGACGCGCGCTTCTTGCGCCTCTCGCTTATTCCTCTCTGCCTAACCTGCCCCTCCACTCCATGCAGGTGATCAACCGTGGCAGTGTGTTTGCTGGCTATGCGGGCATCAGCATAGACTATGCACTGCAGATCACTGCTGCTCTCGGCATGCTGGTCCGTGCTGTGCCCCATCCTGCTCCCACTCTTTGCTAGCGCTGCACCCAGACTGCTGCTTGTATATGCTTCACCTGCTGCTGCATTCACTGCTGCTGCATGGCCGCAGTCAATGCCTTCAAGTCCATCCACTCTTCCCTGCTCACTCCAAAAAACTCCCAGACACGCTTTGCCATCTTGGCTCCCCCCCCCACCAATTTCTCCCCCCCGTCTTCTCTCCCTGCGCTCCCTTGCATCTTCCACCCTGCATGTTGAGCGCAGGTGCGGCAGATGACTGACACAGAGAACCAGATGAATGGGGTGGAGCGCATCCTGGAGTACCGCGACAAGATCGACCACGAGGTGGGGGGTGGGAGGGGGGCATGGCGAAGGGTGGGGAGGGGGAGGATGGTGAGGGGGAGGACGTTTTTTAGTCGACTCAAAAGTCGGCGCAGAGGATGCTGGGAGGTAGTTGGGATGCGGAGGGATGACTGCGGTTTGGTGCAGGCTGCCGATTTGATCCAGTGATGCAATGCACTGCGCTGCGCTGCACTGCATGAGGGTCCATCTCCACCATGCTGGCATGGGCGAATGTTGAGAATTCTCAAAAGTCACGTACGAGTCTTTCTTGCCTGCCTTGTGCTCCCTCTTCCACAGGCGCCGTCAGTGGTGAAGGAAGCAGACCCTGGGGCAGACTGGCCGGCCAAGGGCGAGATCCAGGTGGACCAGATCTCCATGCGCTACCGCCCCGGGCTGCCGCTCGTGCTCAAACAGGTCTGTCCACCAGCCTTCCGGTGCTCGAGTAACCAACCCACAAGTCTAAGCATGGGTGTGCTTGCTGTTACCAGGCACCATTCCCCATGTACGCACCTGTCATTCCTCCACCCCATCTCCCCCACTCCCCCATCCTACACCCCACACCTCACTCCTTCTCCCCGCTCCCCTCACCCCCCCCCCTCCCCCTTTTCTCTCCTGCCCCTCCCCCCTTCCTCTCCCGCCTCCCCCAGGTGTCTGTCTCAGTCCAAGGCGGCGAGCGCGTGGGCATCGTGGGCCGGACCGGGTCCGGCAAGTCGTCCCTCATGCTGTGCCTGTTCCGCCTGATCGAGCCGTCAGAGGGGCGCATTTTCATCGACGGCACGGACATCTCGTCCCTGGGGCTCACGCAGCTGCGCTCGCGGCTGTCGATCATCCCGCAGGACCCGGTGCTGTTCAGCGGCACGGTGCGCAGCAACCTGGACCCCTTCAACTGCCATACGGACGACGAGGTGTGGACGGCGCTCAGCCACGCGCACCTCAAGGATAAGGTGAGATGAGGACTGGTGTGGGTGGGGAGGGATGCCGGTGGGTGGGGAGGGATGGTTTTTCAGGCGCCTCAAGAATAACCTCAAGGATAAGATGAGATGAGGACTGGTGTGGGTGGGGAGGGGGCTGCGGGTGGGAGGGGAGGGATGGTGGCGAGAGGGTATGGAAGAGCATGCTGGTAGAAGGAGGCGGAGTGGGGCAGCAGGCTGGAAGACAGTTTGTGCTTTGCTGCTCTCGGTTATCCTGATCCTGATGTTTGCACCTGTGCCGCGGTGTTGCTGCTGCTGTACGGTGGGTGGTTGCGCTGGCAGGTGGGAGCGCTGCAAGGGAAGCTGGAGGCATCAGTGGCGGAGTATGGGGAGAACTTCTCAGTGGGGGAGAGACAACTGCTCTGCCTCGTGAGTCATTCACATCCAACATGCATCCTACATGCATGCCGCCATGGCAGCACGCCCTGCCACATCCACATGCCTTGCTGGCTCTTGTACCATCGTGACTTCTGAGTCGACTCAAAAGTCACCTTGCAGCACGTGCACATCGAGACATCACCGGTAACAACCCCGCCCATGCACTTATTGCATCCCATCTCATTTAACCTCATCCGTTCTCATCACTATGTTCCTGCTCATATCTCATTTCTGCCCCCTATTTATCTGCCTGCCTGCTACGTGTTCACCCTCTGCTCGTCCCTCTCAACACACCCCCTCCCCTCTTCCCCCCCTCCAGAGCTGCATGACTGTGATTCCACTAAAAGGTCTCTTCCTTCTCCATCTCCACCTCCTTCACCCTCCCCCTTCCCCCTCTTTCCCTTCCCCCCCCCCCCCCCAAGGCGCGTGTGCTGCTGCGCAAGAACCGCATCATGATCATGGATGAGGCCACCAGCAGCGTGGACTTCGAGACAGACCGACTCATCCAGGTGCGTGCCTGGGATGTGATGTGATGTGTGACATGTGATGTGTGACATGTGATGTGTGCTGTGCTGTGTGCCCGTGCCATGCCACCTCTTCCATGTCCGTGTATGGCGTCCTTGTTTCTCTCCCACTGGGCCACTGCATCAACACACCCCCAGCTACTCTCCCTCGTGACCCACCCATCACCCACCTTTGACTCGTGCGCTGCGGCATCCCTCTTCCCCCCCCCTGCCAATGATTCCCCCCCACAGGCCACCATCCGCACGCACATGCAGGAGAGCACCATGCTCATCATCGCGCATCGCATCAACACCGTCATCGACGCCTCGCGCATCCTCGTGCTCAGCCATGGGGAGGTGCGTGCCACTTATTGCATGCTGCTCATTGCATGTTGCTCATTGCAAGCTGCTCATTGCAAGCTGCTCATTGCATGTTGCTCATTGCATGTTGCTCATTGCATGTTGCTCATTGCATGCCGCTCATTGCATGTTGCTCATTGCATGTTGCTCATTGCATGCCGCTCATTGCATGTTGCTCATTGCATGTTGCTCATTGCATGTTGCTCATTGCATGTTGCTCATTGCATGTTGCTCATTGCATGTTGCTCATTGCATGCCGCTCATTGCATGTTGCTCATTGCATGCCGCTCATTGCATGTTGCTCATTGCATGCCGCTCATTGCATGTTGCTCATTGCATGCCGCTCATTGCATGTTGCTCATTGCATGTTGCTCATTGCATGTTGCTCATTGCATGCCGCTCATTGCATGTTGCTCATTGCATGTTGCTCATTGCATGCCGCTCATTGCATGTTGCTCATTGCATGTTGCTCATTGCATGTTGCTCATTGCATGTTGCTCATTGCATGTTGCTCATTGCATGTTGCTCATTGCATGTTGCTCATTGCATGTTGCTCATTGCATGTTGCTCATTGCATGTTGCTCATTGCATGTTGCTCATTGCATGCCGCTCATTGCATGCTGCTCATTGCATGTTGCTCATTGCATGTTGCTCATTGCATGTTGCTCATTGCATGTTGCTCATTGCATGTTGCTCATTGCATGTTGCTCATTGCATGGCTCATTGCATGTTGCTCATTGCATGCCGCTCATTGCATGTTGCTCATTGCATGCCGCTCATTGCATGTTGCTCATTGCATGCCGCTCATTGCATGTTGCTCATTGCATGCCGCTCATTGCATGTTGCTCATTGCATGTTGCTCATTGCATGTTGCTCATTGCATGCCGCTCATTGCATGTTGCTCATTGCATGTTGCTCATTGCATGCCGCTCATTGCATGTTGCTCATTGCATGTTGCTCATTGCATGTTGCTCATTGCATGTTGCTCATTGCATGTTGCTCATTGCATGTTGCTCATTGCATGTTGCTCATTGCATGTTGCTCATTGCATGCCGCTCATTGCATGTTGCTCATTGCATGCCGCTCATTGCATGCTGCTCATTGCATGCCGCTCATTGCATGTTGCTCATTGCATGTTGCTCATTGCATGTTGCTCATTGCATGTTGCTCATTGCATGTTGCTCATTGCATGTTGCTCATTGCATGTTGCTCATTGCATGCCGCTCATTGCATGTTGCTCATTGCATGCCGCTCATTGCATGCTGCTCATTGCATGTTGCTCATTGCATGTTGCTCATTGCATGTTGCTCATTGCATGTTGCTCATTGCATGTTGCTCATTGCATGTTGCTCATTGCATGCCGCTCATTGCATGCCACGGCTGCCACTGCTCCCACCCTCAAATTACCCATCAGCCACTTCCCCTGCTCTGCTCTCCATTGGGTGTCCTCCCCCTCTTCTTTTCTTCATCCTGTCTCCCCTCACCAACCCCCCCCCCCACCCACCCCTCTCCACCCAACTCCCCCACATGGCAGGTGATGGAGTACGACACGCCAGCGGTGCTGCTAGACAAATCCGAGGGACAGTTTGCATCGCTGGTGGAGGACACGGGCGAGCAGACGGCGGCGCACCTGCGCAAGATAGCGCGCGGGGAGCTCGACTTCTTCTCCGCCTACTCCAAGATTGTCAAGCACGACTGATTCGTGCTCCAGGACATGTGATGCGTGAATGAGGGTGTCTGGCTATGGCAATGGCATGGCACCCTTTTAGGTTGGATTGCTTGGTTGCTCGCGTCACATTCTCGCACGAATGCAATAAAAGCTGGGGGTGGTTGGTGGGGATTTTTTGCTGTGCCTTTTTGTTATTTCTTCACGTTTGGAAATTACAGCTGATCACACAAGCTTGCAAAACCTGAGACTAGTACATCTATGTAAGATGACCCACCTCCTCCAGCATTCACTCCATCCGTCTACGCGACAAAATCAGCAAGCTACCACTCCAAATGACGAAGTGAATGGCAATCCCCATCCTAAAACAACCACGGGCCACCATCTCTAGAGTTTCAGCGCAGGCGCCTGTACAGCCCCTGGATCGTTCAGCTCCGCTCCTCTCCTGATCTTCTCCTGGATGAGCCGCGCCATCTGCGAGCGCGGCTGCGCCGATGCCTCAGGGAGTGGAGCAGCAGGTTGATCCGGTGCAAAGGAGTTGGAGGCCCAGGAGAAGACGAGGTTGGAGAGCAGTGTCAGCAGCAGCAGCGCGCCGCCGGAATAGGCTAGAAAGGGCGTGTCGAACTCCGGCCACCCGTCTGCACTCGCATTGCGCCCCACTTGCAGCGCTGGGAGGGGGAGTGGAGAATGGGAGGGGGGAGTGGAGAATGGGAGGGGGGAGAGGAGGGAGGGGATTGAGGGGGTTGGGGATGGTGGTTGTGAGGGGAGGGGTGTGTGGTGTGAGGGGGTTGTGGGGGAGGGGGAAGGGGGTGCGGAGGGGCACATTGTGCATGGAGGGGGGCACGTGGCGGAGCACGGCAGGCGGTGGATGTCAGAAGCAGCTGCGAGTTGAGCTGCGGATGTGCGCATATGCAAGCCACGCGCGTAACCCCATATAGCCTTGCCATCCCCGCCTGCCTGTTTTTGAGGCGCCTAAAAAACATGTGCATCCCCCCATGTGCTCGCCGTCAATGCCTGCTCTCTCTCCCCCTTATAGCTCCCGTCCACGCCCTGTCCTGCGCCCGCCACAACCGACCTGGTTTCTCCGTGCCGCCGCTACTAGGTCCGGGGCTGGCCGGAACAGCCGCGCTCGTTCCGCTCTTTCCCCTTGCGCCTTCGCTTCCCCCACTTCCCCCAGTCCCCGTCCCTATCCCGCGCCTCTGCCGCTCCTCCCGCGCCAGCTCCAGCAGCTGCGCGTCCAATGCGCGGAGCGCAGCAGCCGCCGCCGCCGACGGCGACGCTACCGGCTCCGAGGACGAAGCTGACGACGCGCCATTAGACGGACCGCCGGCGGTCGAGTCGGAACCGGCAAGATTAGGGTCCCCAGCACTCCCCTCACGACCGGTCAAGCTGCCATTGCCGGCTGACGGCTGCTCGCTGCCGGCTGAACACCGCAATGGCTTGGCCGACCGTTGGACCCTCGCTCGGGTGGACCGGCAAGATAAGGCGTGTGGTAAGGCGGACGAGGGTAGGGAGATTGGTGCTCCTGGCAGGGCGAGGAAGGCCATAGGACGCGATGCGCGGACGGGGCACTTCTGGATGTAGTACAAGCCGGAATTCTAGGAATGGGTGGCTACTAGTGCACGCTGGAACAACTTGACGCGTACACAAGGCATACTCGCTGAAGCTACAAGAGGCCCATAACGCTTGTTCGTATAGATCCACTCAAAAGAGATTTGAAAGATTTCGGTATACCTAAAGACAATCCTACTTGGGAAGTATCATGTCCTATGTGGAATCATAAACCACGAACATTTGAGAACCCAATACATAGATACGATAGTTAGTAAATTTTATCGATTTTAACATCCATTATCATGATTCTTGACACGATAGTGATTTTACAAAATGTTTCTATTTGATAATTGTGAATAACAAAAGCTAACACCTGTTTATTCCGTTATAGATCTTTATGTACCTGTAACAAGATTTCCCTGTTTGGAAATTGGTGTGAATGGTTTGTTCTTTCGAAGCTGCTGGTGGTTGACCACCAAAGCCTCTTCCCAACCAGATACCATTCGAAGTCGCGACGGAGCGAGCCTTCGTCAGTATTCGGTTACGCCTGAATCGCCCTGCCCGTTGGCGAAGGATTGTGAGCCTTGCCCCTTCGCCTGGGCTAGCCATGGTTCTGAGGAGGCAGCAAGGTTCAAGTCCCTCAGCGCCTACTAGGGCTTTCTTTTCCCGACTCAACCAGAGGTAAGCAAAAATTCAGTAGGGGGTGTAGGTGCCACGTGTCAGGCAGCACCGTCGACCAAGCTAGGAAGGAGCGTAGTCAGCGCCAGCAAGCGTCGTGGAAGTGGTAGTGCATATCGGAGGTAATTAAGATATAGTCAGCAGGTGCTATCGCAGTGAGCAGGGCGCAGTCGTAGGAAGTGATACGGAAAGAAAAGGAGCCAATAGCGGAGTTAGGTTAGAGAGGCTGCTGGGGTTGGTTCGCTGACTTGCGAAGAGGTGTAACTGTTTTTCGGGCAGGTTTTGCGCTTCACGCAATGTCTTACCAAGTAGAATTTATCCGCATAGTCACTAGGAAACCTTTCAGTGCTGCGTTTGACGGAAACCGTAGTGCTATCATCGTATGGCGGCTTACCTCTTGCTTCCTGCCGTTACCCCTCTGCCCCGCACCTCCTCCGTCCCGCGTGCTCCCTCCCGGATCACAGGAAGGGACTTTTTGGCTCGTTAAACTCCTGCACAGCCAGTCGCGATGGGTCGCGTCATTCGCGCACAGCGTAAGGGTGCGGGTTCCATCTTCGTGTCCCACACGCACAAACGCAAGGGTGCGGCTCGGTTCCGGTCTCTGGACTATTCGGAGCGCAACGGATACATCAAGGGCGTCGTCACTGAGATCCTCCACGACTCTGGCCGCGGCGCCCCCCTCGCTAGGGTAAGTTCCATTTCGTCTCCGTAAGATCTCCCCTCGCTAAGGGTACCAGCGTGCTGTTTCACAAGCCGAAACAAGCGAGTGCGGCTGCCCTCATTGAGCTTCTCCACTCAACTGCGCCTTCACTTATCCCTGCAAGTCTCCCCCCCCCCCCTTCACCCCGCCTTGTACCTTTGTCCTGTGCACGTCCCTTCCGTCTATCCCCGCTACAGGTGCAGTTCCGCCACCCGTTCCGTTTCAAGCACCAGAAGGAGCTGATGGTTGCGGCGGAGGGCATGTACACCGGCCAGTTCGTGTACTGCGGCAAGAAGGCCACGCTCAGCATCGGCAACGTGCTGCCCGTGCGTGCCATGCCCGAGGGTACCGTCTGCTGCAACCTCGAGCAGCACGTCGGAGACCGCGGCGCCATCGCACGCGCCTCCGGCGACTATGCGATCATCGTGTCGCACAACCCTGACAACGGCACCACCCGCGTGAAGCTCCCGTCGGGTTCCAAGAAGGTTATCCCCTCCTCGTGCCGTGGCATGGTGGGGCAGGTGGCTGGCGGCGGGCGCACGGAGAAGCCGATGCTGAAGGCGGGTAACGCGTTCCACAAGTACCGCGTGAAGCGCAACTCGTGGCCCAAGGTGCGTGGTGTGGCTATGAACCCCGTGGAGCATCCTCACGGTGGTGGTAACCACCAGCACATTGGCCACGCCTCCACCGTGCGCCGCGACGCGCCCGCCGGGCAGAAGGTCGGTCTCATTGCCGCCAGGCGTACCGGTCGGCTGCGCGGACAGGCTGCAGGGTCGCTCAAGATGGAGAAGGCCGCTTAAGCAGGCTCAGGGCCAGGGGTGGCGGTTCAGGGACGGAGGCCGTGTCAGTGGCGTGGAATGGAGGGAGCAGTGGGTGCAGGGCACCTGGTGGAGGATGGAAAGGTGCCTCACTGGTTGCTGCTGGCAATGGTGGTGTTTTACTACGCGTTTGTGTGTGTTTCATACATTGTATTCAAATTCGTGATGATGAGAAGCACATGGTTCGTGTGTTGCTTGCAACCCATGCTAACACTGTCCAGCAAATCTTTCTGTCAATAGTACGTACCAGGATTGTTTGTAGAGGCTGCAAGGTGTCCAGTAATTGTCCTGTCCTGAGTCTGGAAATTGCAATCACATGGATGAGGAAGTGTTGGGTGCTTTAGGAAGTTAATAGTTGTATTTGCGATGGTGGGCAATCTTCTGGCGTTACAATCTGCCACAAAATTGACAATGTCCTGCTTTACCGGAGCGACAGTGTAATTTGCCCTGGCAAGGTGGAGCATCTCACTCCCGCGCCTCCGCAGCAACTCCCGACTTTCCAGCGAATCCAGACCAGTCTCGGCTGGACCTTGAGATGCCCGCCCGCCCGCCCTCATCCCTCCCTCAAGATTCCGCGCACATTCCCCCAAGCACCCTCCCCCCTTCCCCCGTTACCTCTCCGCGTTCCCCGCACGAGCGTCCCACCTCCCCTTTCCCTCCACCACTTTCCCCTTCGCCCAGTGCCACCTTCTTTCGCGAGCGCTTTCGCGAATCACGGTTCACCCGCCGTGCAGCACCCAGTTTCCACCGACCCCTCCCTCACCTGCCCGCGAATTGGATCTTTTCCGAAAAAGGAGGCAAGGGAGAAGGCAGTCCTCCTCTCCTACACAATTTGTAGTTCTGAAAATAAATCGTTCCTCGCTGCTGTGATTCCTCCTCTGTCGTCATCACTTGTTTGCTCGGGTTGGCTGACAGATAGAGGCTAGGCTAGCGGGCTAGTTTGCATTATGAACATAATGGACGTGCCCACGATGCGAGCGCTGGGCGGCGACGATGACGACGAGTACGACTGGGAGGGCGAGAAGCGACGCCGGGAGCGCAAAGAACGGCGCGAATGGGCGCGGCTGGTGGCCTCCGCGGAGCAGATGGAGGCCGCGCGGCGGGTGAAGGCGCAGAAATGGTCGCGCAAGTTGCGCTCGAAGCTGGAGCATCAGCGGACAATACGCGGCAAGGTTGACGTGTCGGAAATCGAGGATCTCGATGTTTTCGACATGCCGGTGCACACCGGAGAGGCCGAACTAGGAGCTCCGCCTCCCACGCCGCAACCGCCGCCGGATCTCGAGCGGGCCGGGCGTGCGTGCAAGACGAAGATCGTGTGCACATTAGGCCCCATGTCGCGCAGCGTGGACGTGATCGAACGGCTGTTACGCGCCGGCATGAACGTGGCGCGATTCAATTTCTCCCACGGATCGCACGAGTATCACCAGGAGACCCTGGATAATCTCCGCGCCGCCATGGCGAATTCCGGCATTCTCTGCGCCGTGCTGCTCGATACCAAGGTGCGCTGCTCCTAGCCCCTAGGTACAATTGCTTGCTCCTTGATCCTTACCACGGGTACATTGCACACCCTAGGTCCGACTCCCCCCCTCCGCCCCCTTCTTTTTTCGTTTGCTCATTTACGTTCTGAACACCAACATTGCGCGCTTCCCCCCCGTCCCGCCCCCGGCGTCCCCCCCTCCGCCCTTGCGCGCGTGCCGAATCGGCGGCGCTAACCGTTGCGCGTACCTACCAGGGTCCGGAGATCCGCACGGGCATGCTTAAAGACGGGAAGGCGGTGCAGCTGGAGAAGGGGCACACGATCACGGTGACGACGGACTACAGCGTGCAGGGCGACGCGTCCACCATCGCCATGAGCTACAAGAGCCTCGCGAAGCACGTGCGGCCGGGCGGACAGATTCTGTGCGCGGATGGGAGTATTACGCTCACGGTGCTCGCGTGCAACCTCGACGCAGGGTATGTGTGGGGGGGGGGAGGAGAGGATGGGGGGAATGTGGGTGTGGGTGTGGGTGTGGGTGTGGGTGTAGGGGTGGGTGCGTGCCGCTGTGTGCATGCGGCATTGGCATGCAGCGCCGAGTTTGCCACGCCATTGTATCACACACTCTGCATTCAAGCACACCCTCACCACTCCATTCAACCCCCCCTCCCCCCCCCTCCCCTCCCCCTTGCCTCCAAAGCCTTCTGTGCATGGAGCGGTTTCGATGCGTCTTTGCCTCAATGTATGCGCATTCACCCTGCCGTGTTGCACGCTCTGCGGCTAACTCCTGACTCTCTCTTTCTGCTCGACTGCCTGGAATTGTGTCCATTGGTCCTGCTCTGGGGTGTTGGGGTGTTGGGGTGTTGTTGTTGTCATGGCACCAATGCTGCTGGTGGTCGTTGGTGGTTGGGTGTGGTGGGTGGTGGTGAGTTGGTGCGTGTTGCATGCAGCACGGTGACGTGTCGGTGTGAGAACACAGCGATGCTGGGCGAGCGCAAGAACGTGAACCTGCCGGGGGTGATAGTGGACCTGCCGACAATCACAGACAAGGACGAGACGGACATCATGGGGTGGGGCGTGCCCAACGGCATCGACTTCATCGCTGCTTCGTTTGTGCGCAAGGGCTCCGACCTGCGGGTTATACGCAAGATGCTGGGGGCCAAGCTCAGCGAGCGGACCAAGATCATCTCCAAGGCATGTTTGGGATGTTTTGATTTATGTCGGTGATCTTCGTCGATGTGCGCACGCAGAAGCGCATGCATGCATGCACATGGCGGGAGAATGTGTCGCTGTGTAGGCATTGTGTTGTGACGTGCATGGCTTCCTGCACTATGTTTCAGTGGCTCAAGATGCTCTCCTATGGCACTTGGACATGGCAAATGGGCAGGTGGAGAACCAGGAGGGGCTGGTCAACTTCGACGACATTCTGAGGGAATCGGATGGCATCATGGTGGCTAGAGGCGATCTGGGCATGGAGATACCCATCGAGAAGATCTTCCTCGCGCAGAAGATGATGATCCACAAGTGCAACGACGCAGGTGCTCACTCACTCTTGTTCACTTCTCTCGCACTCACTATGTTTCATATGACACTTCCCATACACAAGAACGAACCTGAAGAATCATCCATCAGCACATCACTTCTGTTCTGTGATTACGAAACACGAAACCTCAAGCTAAGCTTGCCATGCTTCAGATACCCACAGTGTCCTGGACCAGGTCGCTCCATGTCACTTGCTGCTCCTCCGTGCTGCCCTCCCTCCGCCTCTCCTCCCCCCCGCCAGGCAAGCCTGTGATCACCGCCACCCAGATGTTGGAGTCCATGGTCAAGTCACCGCGGCCCACCCGGGCAGAGTGCACAGACGTGGCCAACGCCGTGATCGACGGCACGGATGCAGTCATGCTGTCGGGAGAGACAGCAGCGGGGAAGTACCCAGTGGAGGCTGTATCTGTGATGGCTGCCATCTGCCGCACGGCGGAGGCAGGGCTGGACTACGAGGCGTCGTTCAAGTCGGTCATGGCTGCTGCGCGCCTGCCGCTCAGCCCTGTGGAGAGCCTTGCGTCCTCAGCTGTGCGCACCGCCAACAGCGTGAGTGCTTTGAAACGTCACAAATTTTGTTTTCTTGTGGTTTTTGAGTCGTCGCAGAAATCGCTTGACAACCTTCCATGTGGAAGGCCTCGCGTCCTCGGCTGCGCGCACTTAGAGTGCTTGTAGTGTGGAGTGCTTGTAGTGCGGGTTCAGCATTTTGTGGCAGTCTCGTACGGCTTTGTTGGAAAAAGGTCCGATTTTGCTGCTTTTTTGGTGCTGTGCAGGTGGCGGCGAAGCTGATAGTGGTGCTGACTCGCAGTGGGAGCACTGCAGGGCTGGTGGCCAAGTATCGGCCATACATGCCTATCCTGTCTGTGGCTGTGCCTGTGCTCGAACCCACCGACTCCCTGGAGCTCTTTGTGGAGCCAAGTGACGCTGCTCCTGCTCGCCACGCGCTGCTGGTGAGAGGGCTGGTGCCTATTTTGGCGGAGGGAGGAGCACGCTCTACTGACTCTGATACTGTTCTAGACATCATATCGACCTCCTTGGACAAGGCCAAGTCTCGTGGACTTATCACCTCCGGTGATACTACTGTGGTGGTACATCGCATTGCAGGGTCTGCTGTTATCAAAATAATGCAGATACCTTAGGTTGGATTCGCTATTATTTACTTCGAGATAATTTATTATTGTGTACTTCAATTATACGGTATAATTTACTAAACTTTGTCGTAGACACTGCCATGAATCAGAACACTCGGCACCACTATCCGTATCATCTAGTTCTGCGTCTGACGAGACGCGGGACTCGAGGTTCACCACTTGTCTGTTGTGTGCGGTGCGGGGCCGCCCCGACCAAATGGCACACCAGAAAAAATCGCGCGACGCGAATTCGTCCCACCAAACCATTTTTCGCAAATGCAAGTACGGCTCGACTCGACATCAACCAAGCACTGTCCTGCCCTGCGCCAGCTTGACTCCACATCTTGCCGTCATCCACCCTTCCTTGCATCCATCCCCCCAAACTAACCCATCCACCCATGCCCCAGCATAATCCTTCCCACCACATCAAACAATAGCGGAATACCTCAAGTGATCCGTCCCACACGGCCTGAACCCAACCAGAGGAGATCCAAGTTTCGCCTGGCTTGCTGTCCGAGCTATTGTCTCACCGTTTCTCCATACCTTACGTGGTCCCGTCTATCTCAGCTTTTCTCCTTGCTGCATCGGAAGTCGCAAGCACTTAACTCTACCGATTATAGGTCAACCACAGGAGGCGACGAACCATGGCAGAACGTGCTAATCTGCTCACGCTGAGCATAGCCCTGATTATCGTAAGCGCGAGCGTAGCGCAGGCGTCTCGACCCGCGAGTCTACGGCTGATAAAGCTGGGAGGAACCGCGCAGGACGCCAAGTGCCTCGATGGCAGGTGAGTCTCCATGGGACTGCGGCGCCGTACAGGCGGTACTTGCTTAAATTCTTGAATGAAGAGAAAAGGGGGTGTTCAGGCTTCCCTGGATGAAGATGAAAGGCGGAAGAAGGGACTCAAAGCTTGTGAAGGGCGTCGAGCCGGGAAAGGGGCTTGATTGCTGGCGGAACGCGTTCTAGCCGGCGGCGAGGCGAGAAGAGTGAGTCGTGTTGAAAGATTCGACATATGGCTCTTTGGCTGTTTTTTTAGGCGCCTCAAGTATTGAAAGATTCGACATGTGGCTCTTTGGCGCGGATCGGATCCCCGCCTGCTCTGCCTCACCGAATCGTGAAACGTGAAAGGTGAAACGTCCTCATCTTTCCAATCTCAACCCCCTGCCACGCCAGTCCTCCGGCCTACTTCCTTCGCGACGGCTATGGATCCGGCGCCGCCAACTGGATGATCTACCTGCAGGGCGGCGCGTGGTGCACGAGCAAGGCGGAGTGCGCGCAACGCGCCACCACGCCGCTCGGGTCCAGCAAGTTCTGGCCCGAACCCAGCAGCCGCTCCTTCGCCGGCACGGTGAGCTCGCAACGCGCAACGCGCAATGCGCATGCGCTTGCCTGAACTTTGCTTGTGATATCACATTTTTGAGGCGCCTCAAAAACCTGAACTCTGCTTGTGGTAGCTATCCCATTCACCGTTTTCATTCTCCCGTTATCCGCTTTCCGCTTTCCGTTCCTCCCTCTCTCCTCCCCGTCTCTCCGCGCCCCCCTGCCCACGCCTCATCCTGTTCCCCTGACGCTCCGCGATCCCCGCAATCCCCGCGACCTCCGCCCTGTACCCCATCCCCGCGATGCGCGGCGGCAGATGCGGAACATGAACAGCGCGTTCACGGGGCTGCTGAGCAGCAGCGAGGTGCAGAACCCCGACTACTACAACTGGAACACCGTCATGGTCGTGTACTGCGACGGCGGCGGGTACGCGGGCACGGCGGGGGCCGTGCGAGTCAATGCCACCACCACCATCCACCTCGACGGCCACCGCATCCTCAAATCCGTCGTCGCAGGTCCGTGCGCGCGCTGCCTCCCCGTGCTTCTCCCCCTGCTGCTTCGCGTGCTGCTCCCCGTGCCGCTCCCCGTGCTGCTCCCCGTGCTGCTCCCCGTGCTGCCCCCCGTGCTGCTTCGCGTGCTGCTTCGCGTGCTCCTCCCCCTCGCGTGCACCCACAGTCGGCACCACACGGCCCTCCATGACTCGCTCCTCCGCTGCCCCCTTTCACCGTTGTCCGCCGTGCTGACTCGCCTCATGTGCGCCGCCCTCTCTTTCCCCGCAGACCTGGCGAAGCGCGGCATGGCGACGGCGAAGCGCGTGCTGCTGACGGGGTGCTCGGCGGGGGCGCAGGCCGTGTCGACATCGTGCGACGAGGTGGCGGCCGCCGTGCCGTCCGCCAACACCAAGTGCCTCATGGACGCCGGCTTCTTCCTCGGTGCGTGCGTGCGTGCGTGCGTGCGTGCGTGCGTGCGTGCGTGCGTGCGTGCGTGCGTGCGTGCGTGCGTGCGTGCGTGCGTGCGTGCGTGCAGGCGTGTGTGCCTAGTCGCTCGCTCGCTCGGTCGCTTGCTCGCTTGCGTATTACCACCTCTGTGCTCAGTGCGCCAAACGCAAGCACGAGCAAGGACTCAGGTCGTGGGGGGCCCCTCTCTCTTACTCGGCTCACAGGCGTTTGAGTCATCTGCACCTCGCTCCTTGTAGTGCTGACCCTCGCTCTGTCTACCCTGCCTCTGCCCCCACCACCGCATGTGATACCCCCCCGGTGTCAGACGGGTGGGACGAGAACGGCGCCCCTGCGTTCCGCACCATAGCGCAGAAGCTGGTGGAGCTGCACCAGGCGCAGTACGACGCCGACTGCGCTAGAGGTGAGGCCGCTGCCCTGCCACTTGCACCTGCCTAGCATGCTCACAACACTTGCACGCGCACACGTTCACACGTGCATTCGTGTGTATCACTCTCTTTCTTCCACCCAGCTAGCTCCTCTCTCTCCCTGCACCTTTCTCGCTGTCCCTACCCCTACTCCTGCCCTACCATTATTCTCTTTCTCAAGCCATCTCCTCTCCTCCTACATTGCTCTCTCTGTCCCCCTCTCTTACCCTCTTTCTCTTGCCCTCACTCCCTCTCTCCCCGCCCCCCTATCCCCCCTGCAGCAAACCCCAAGGGCGCTCTGTGGAAATGTTTCTTCCCACAGAACAACCTCGAGTTTGTCACAACCCCCGTGTTCATAATTAACTCAATAAACGACTACACTGCAATGGACATCCTCAATTCCGTGAACAAGGAGTCAAGCACATCCTCCTCCAACGTCCTCCTGTGCCTGGACGAGCTGCGGCCGTCGGGAGGCACGGCCGGCTATGTCCCCAGGACAGTGCAGCAGCCTCGGCGCAAGAACGGCAACGCCACGTGCTCCACAGCGGCCCGGGATGCGTTGAAGCGGTACTCTGAGCGGCTGCAGAACCGCATTAAGAGCCTGGCCAAGAGGAGACCCAACACGGGCACTTTCATGCTGGGCTCGGTGGCGCACTGCGTGACGGTGTACCCCACGTGGCTCAAGGTGCAGCGCAAGGGGTACTTCTTGCGCGGCTTAGTCACTGATTGGCTGATGATGGACAAGCGGGTTCAATTACAACAGCGCCGGGGGAGCACCGCACGGCGCAACTAACATGATACTGTAGTAGTACCACCATTACATGATCGAGTCTGTGTGAGCTTCCTGCGCACACCAATAGTCATGGCGCCCCTTCCAGGTGCACGCTTGTGGGAGCAACAATAGCAGGTAGCAGGTAGAAGGTGCCCACATCACCACCACTAGAACTAGTGACAGGTTATGCTACATGTTAATCAATTTTGTTTATGAAAACCCAACAGGCCCCAAACCTAAGCCATTCGTTTGTAGCCTCTGCATGTGCCATTTCGTTTTAACAGGATAGGTAATTGCAAAGAGGACAAGGAATATTGCCCACAACATTGCAATCTAGCAAGCTTGCTCAGCATATGAAAAGCTTCGGCATTAAAATGTTTCGAGATTTTTAGTATTTGCGATATCCAATCTGGCCTAGATTGTTCCCTCGGCGCAACGAGGATACGTTCTCACAACAAGAATCGCGGTGCTTGCTCAGTACCTTAGTTCACAACGTCGCATGAGGCCCTTATCCTGGTTCCATTAGACAGGCGTTCGTCGTTATTCTAGCTCCGTAGAACGATAGCAGCGAGCCTGCGCGTGTTGACCAGTTGATCAGTCGGCGTGCTACCACCTTACCACCTCACCTCTGCGGACCTTGCCCTGTCGAGCTCCTGTCTTGCCTCGTTCATCCCACCACCCGCCACTGTCTCGCTAGCTTCCTTCCCCTGGCGGGTGTACCATCAGCAGAGCGGGCGCAAGGGCAATCGACGCAGAGTAGATTCTCTGCAAATCGGAACTGGCGCGAAGGGGATTTTGCGCGAAGTTAGTATCAGCGCAAAGCGGGGATCGGCGCATTTGAGGGATCGGCGCGTAGGGGGGATCTGCGCGTGGTGGGAACCGGCGCAATGGCGGGGGCGGAGGGGGCGGCGGTGGTCGATTGGCACACGCGGGCGCAGAATCCGCGCAACCCGGTGGTGTTCTTCGACGTCACTATAGGAGGCATCGCCGCGGGCCGCATTAAGATGGAGCTGTTCGCTGACATCGCGCCTCGCACTGCGGAGAACTTTCGGTAGCCATGCCATGCCATCCCGTGCCACGCCAACCTGTGCCATCCTGTGCCGTTTCATGGAATGCGACGCAGGCCTGCTTTATCTGCACGTTGTCTTGTGTGTGCGTCCTGGTTTGCCGGCACGCTAGCTTCTTGCAACGTTTCGCTGGCAGTTTACTCGCCGGAGGCATCACCGGCACCATTACACTCATCATCCCCCCTCCCACACTCCCGCACTCCCACATTCCCACCATTTCTGCTGTCACTTCTCCCTCCCCTCCCTTGTCCTCACTTCTCTGCCCCTTTTCCCTCGTCCCTCTCCCCCCCCTACAACCTCTACCCATACTGCTACTGCCGCGATCCTCTCTCACACTCTCGTGTGCGACTGTTGGTGTGGTGCGCGGTGCGGGACGGTGACTGCAGGCAGCTGTGCACGGGCGAGATGAGGTGGGTCACCCTGAGACTAGACTCAGCAGACTGGAGTGATTGAGTTGAGACCAGTGGCACAGTCTGCTGAGACACCTAGGCATGCGCTATTGTCCATTGCTCTCAGGCTGCAAAGGATGTGCATGTGCGTGCATGTATCTGCATGCGTGTATGCGTGTGTGCGTGCAGGAAGAACAACATACCACAAGGGTACAAGGGGTCGGTGTTCCACCGAGTGATCAAGGACTTCATGATTCAAGGAGGAGACTTCCTCAAGGTGCCCTACACTACACCCTCGCATGCATCAGTACACCCCCACAGAACACCGCGGTTACTGCACCATAACGCACTATTCACAACAGTAGAACACGCTGTGTTTATCGCGCTGTTCACACTCAACTGTCTGCCCCCCACCCTCCATCCTCCTGCTCTTTCTTCCTCCATCATTCCTCAAATCACTGTGGCCCCTTCCCCCCTCCTTCTCCCCCCCCCCCCCCCCCCCTCCTCTCCCCTGTCACTTGGCATCAGGGTGATGGCACTGGGTGCATCAGCATATACGGGTCCAAGTTTGACGACGAGAGCTTTATCGGCAAGCACACCGGCCCGGGACTGCTTTCCGCTGTACGCCTCTTGCTCTCTTTTTTTTAAGATCTTGCTATTGCCCTTTCTGTTGGAAGCTTCCTCTTGTTCTTGCTCTTGCTGCTGCATTACAACCTGAGGCTGTACCGAAGTCAATGCGTGACTGCTGACCATGCATGCACGCACTGCTCTTGTCTCTTCGTGCTCCTGTCCCTGCATTCACCATATGTTGTTTCCCTCTCATTCTCCCCTCCTCCCTTTTCTCTCTCCCCTTTGCAGGCCAACAGTGGGCCCAACACCAATGGCTGCCAGGTGGGGGCACCACCCTGTCTTCCTGTCCAATCTGCACCATGCTCTTCTCTCGTCTTATTTCCTCCGAGCGCTACTCTTGCACATCCCCTGCTGCATTTATTCGTTCTACGTGGCCCGTTGCTTCATCTCGGGCTTCAGAGGAACTCTAGCAATGAAATGACAAGAGGGAGCATACAGCAGAATGAGATGGAATGATCCTTGATGCATGCTTCATGGCCCACGGTTCATGATCTTGTGTGCTTCTCTATGCTGCCGTGTGCTGGCCGCGTGTCTGTGTGTGCAGTTCTTCCTCACGTGCGCCAAGTGCGAGTGGCTCGATAACAAACACGTTGTGTTTGGGGTAAGTTGTCCTGTGCCTGCCATGCTGCATAGATCCATATACAGCCATATGCATGCATGCATCACCCATGCTTTAGCTTGTCTGTTGCCATGATCTGACGTCCGTGAGCAAATGCTTGTCCATGGCATGGCACCCCATGCCTTCTGTAACCGTTCCTAAACGTTCTAGGCTCTAGTCACTAGTGGCCTGTCACTTCGTACTGACTTCCCGTTGACTGGATCCCCCCCCAGCACCTCGCCTGTTCCTCTACCATCTCCCTTCCTCCTGCCACACACCCCTTTCCTCCTCTCTGTCTCCCCCTGTGCTCACAGCGAGTGTTGGGGGACTCGCTGCTCGTAGTGCGCAAGATAGAGAACGTTCAAACGGGCCCCAACAACCGCCCCAAGCTTGCATGTGTCATTGCTGAGTGCGGCGAGCTGTGATCTGAACGTATCACTTTGCCATGCGTTGCGTGCGGAGGTTATGTCTTTGTTGTATAGACTACATAGTAGAAGGATGTGGGATGCGTTCGTTAATAGGCCGAATGTTCATGTATTAGAGGGTCTTTTGCCCTTCATTGTCCTCTCGTCTCGTCTCATGAAATGCTGATTTGTTTGATCAACTGGATTTTTTTTGTGGGAGTGGTTCTGACACCCTGGATGTTCTAGTTGTTTCACCCTCCCGACTATAACGGGGAAAGTGTTTTCCACACCCGTCGGCGACAATATCCATGCTTGCTTGGTAGATTCTTTTTATACAATGGATACTTCACACGAATGCCTGATTTCGCAGTCTGAGTGGAGCACCCTCAGCAGTCTCACTCGTCCCCAACGGTGCTTGTGGTAAAACGTCCTCGTACGTGCCTGGTTTCCTTCCCTGAGGGGAAACGTCAGACATTGCTGATTGCATCCATCGCATACACCATGGCACTAAGCGGTCTCTCGCTGATCTCTCCAGCGGAAGCTGCGTCGTCTTTTCGTCACGTAACTTATCCTGCTAAGTCGCTCCCCACGTGCCGGGAACCATGTCCATCCCTCACGCGTTTCACCGCTTTGTCCGGACGACTGCCGACGACGACTGCACGCCGCCGTAGTCGCGTCGCCGAGGTCGTTGCATGTCGCACACGGTCGTCGCACGACAGCACTCGCTCGCTAGCAGCCTGTCGCCAGCTGCCCCGCGACTGCCGACTCCCTGCAGTGTGGGGAGAGGCGGGGATGCGGAACGCGGGCGCGCGGAAGCGGAACCAGCGGAAGGCGGGCGAGCGCGGGCGCGTTAGAGCAGGAAGCGGGGAGTGGGCCACAGAGGCGGAAAAGGCGGACTGGGAAAAGCGGCAGGTGCGGTGAACGGGGAATGCAGGCTCTGTCATAATTATGCAGTATGGAGTGGTTGCCAGGGGCATGGTGATAGGGATCAGTAAAGGGTGCTTTTGAAATTTCTCAAAAACATCCTGCAAAAGCATGGTGATAGGGATCAGTAAAGGCCTATCAGCACGAAGAAGGCCTATCGTTGTCAGGATGCTGGATGTTCGTGTAAGCGTTGACTCAACCAAGAACATCCAGCTATGATGGTCACATCACATTAGAGGCCGTTACGGTCACTACTGCGTCCGTTACTCTGCTTGTAGGGCAAAGCAAGCACCGATTTTAGGTATCGGTGGTTGGTCTGTGCAATCGTTGACCTTTGGGATGGTGTGTCGTGTGTTTGTCACGTGTCATGTCTTATGTGTCATGTGTTGTGTGTTGTGCGTGTTGTGTGTTGTGCGTGTTGTGTGCCGTGTTGTGCGTGTTGTGTGCCATGTTGCTGCGTGATGTGTGCAGCGTGAGAGTGGAGGAGGCGGAGGAGGCGGAGGCAACGTGGGCGGCGAGTGGCGGTGGACGTTGAATTGGAGCCGCATAGCGCCCGGTGTCATGGTCGGCTCCTGCCCCCGCAGCCCCTCAGACATCGTACGCTCCCGTCCCCTCCCATTGTGTAATAAGTCTTTTTCTTTTAGGGCCTGCGAGGGCAAAGGGACATTCTACGCTGCCCTCCCCTCCCCTTGTGTAATAAGTCTTTTTTTTTAAGGGGCTGAAAGGGCAAGGCGACATAGTACGAGGTGGCTTTTGAGTCGACACTCAATAGTCATGGTCGGCTCCTGCCCCTGCAGCCCCTCAGGCATCGTACGATCCCTTATCCTGTCGTAACATTGCTGCAACACTTGTCATTACCTTACCTTGCAATTCTCCTGGGTTGACTTATCCCTTTCTCTTGACTTTATGTGGGATCTGCTGCAATTTTCCCCTGCTACAAACTGCTGCTTCTCTCCTCCCTTTTTAACCGTTCTCCCACAAATCCCCCTCCACTTGCTGCTCGCCTCCCTCTCCCCTCTCCTCTCTCCCATCTCCCCTCGCCTCTCTCTCTCTCCCCTCTCTCCCCTCTCTCCCCTCTCCTCTTTCCCTCTCCTCTCTCCCCTCTCCCCACTCCTCCCTCCTCCCTCGCCTCTCCTGCACACTGCCTGCCTGCCTGCCTGCCTGCCTACCTGCCTGTCCGTCTGTCTGTCTGTCTGTCTGTGTGCCAGGATCGCATAGTGGATGAGAGTGGAGCAACAGCCGTGGTCAACCTGCAGTCAGACCTCTGCTTCGATGCTCTGCAGGTATCACACCCCTGCACCCTTGCACCCTTGCACCCTTGCACTCTTGCCCTGTTGTACCGTCGTCCCTTGCATTCTTTCTCCACGAACGAAACACTGCTAAGCCGTCTCACACCTAACCCATCCACTTCTTGCAGTTCACGCACCATTGACAAGAAGCACCGGCACATTCTTCCCCGAGCCTCCATTGACTGGCACCCTCGATCACTTTCTTCCTTGCTCCCTGTCCCTACCCCTCCCCTCCACCATTTCGCCTCCTCCTCTCCCTCTGCTGCCAGATCCCCTTTGCTGCTATCCGCGAGCAGGCCGTGCAGCGGGGCTTGCGGCTGGAGAGAGTACCAATTCGGGACTTTGACCACGGCGACCAGGTGCGTGCAACTGCGTGCTCGTGCTCGTGCATGTGTGCTTACATGTCTTTGTGTGCGTGCTGCGGTGGAAGAATTCCGCTACGCGTCGGCTCCTCCATGCCTTAACGTCCATTCTTTGTTTTTGCGTGCATGTGTGTGTGCGTGTGTGTGTGCGTGTGTGTGTGTGCGTGTGTGTGTGCGTGTGTGCGTGTGCGTGTGTGTGTGCGTGTGCGTGTGTGCGTGTGCGTGTGTGTGTGCGTGTGCGTGTGTGTGTGCGTGTGTGTGTGCGTGTGTGCGTGTGTGTGCGTGTGTGCGTGCAGGCGTTCATGCTGCCAGTGGCGGTGCGCATGGTGAATCTGCTCATAGCGGAGGGGTGTGACGTCTACATTCACTGCACCGCTGGCATCAACCGCGCCACGCTCACAGCACTAGGCTACCTCACCTTCGTCAAGGTACGTATGTGCACTTACATGTGTGCACATGTGTGATATGTACGTGCTTATTTGTGTCTGCAAATGCTTGTCTTGAGACGTGCGTATCTGCATGCTGTCCTACTGTCCTACTGTCCTGCCGTCCTGCCGTCCTGCCGTCCTGCTGTCCTGCTGTCCTGCCGTCCTGCCGTCCTGCTGTCCTGCTGTCCTGCCGTCCCGTCCTGCTGTCCTGTTGTCCTGCTGTCCTGGTGTCCTGCATGCACGTTGAGATTCCCACATCACGTGCATCCATCAACCTCTGTCTCCCGTCATGTTCTCGTCCCACTCACTTGTGAGGAGTCTATTTTTGAGGCGCCCCAAAAATAGACTCCTCACGCGGGGAACAGCAATCAGATCCTTGGACATCTTCCAGTGAGCGGTCTATTTTTGAGGCGCCTAAAAAATAGACTCCTCATGCATCCATCAACCTCTGTCTCCCGTCATGTTCTCGTCCCACTCACTTGTTGTGCCGCCATGACATTCCCATTCCGTCATTCTGCCCCTTCGGTGCCCTCGTGCTGCCCGCCTTGTGCCCTGGCCCCTGCTGCTGCTGCTCCTTATGCCCCCCCTTGCTACAGGGAATGGATCTTGACTCTGCACTCTCGCGCATCCGCCAGGCTCGTCCAATCGCCCACCCCTACCTAGATTGCTGGCACTCCGTGCGAGGCCGCCTCCTTGGTGCGTCATTCCACCCCACAGCTCTCACGAGTCACGGATAATGCGATCTGCGTTCATCTCGCTTCCGTCCGTGCTTCCTTCTGCAACCATGGCCCGGGCCTGATTTGTGCTGCTGAGTCAGCCAGTCCTTGCCAGGTGTCCTCTTCTGCTCTTCCTCAGTATCGTGCAGCTTGACAGTACTGATATTGTCAGGTGCAGCTGGCACGTACTCACCTGCGTCTGCCTTCTGTCCACGTGGTAGTGTATGACTCTGTGCGGTTGTGTTGTTCGCTGCTCTCTCTGCGTGCCTGCATGGGGGCAACAGCGGGGCGGGAGGAGGAGCAGATGGCACTAGCCACGGAGATATACGAGGAACGGAGTAGGTCGGGAGGGGGAGGCAATGCGTCCGCGGATTGGCAACAGGCACAGGTATGAGCAGCCTGGGGGTTGTAGCAATGCAACTCATTCGGTTATTGTGTTTTATGGAGTACATATGAGTCAGTTTCTTGTGGTTTGTACTGTGTATTTGGGTTCAGTTCATGTTGTACTTCTTATGGGAGATGCATGGGAGATGATGCATGGGTGATGATGCATGCTGGTGGAGGGATAGTGTATGGAGGTGGAGGCCACTAGAGTGATGCATCATGTCACACCTTGCGTGCGTGTACCGTATGTCAGCATAGTCCACAATGTTCCTGTGGCTCTTCTGTTACTGGCAGGCGCGCGCGATCAAGAGAACGTTTGACCGATACTTGCAAGTGGATCAGGTGAGCTCCACAGCTGATTATGCACTACATTATACTCTGCGGCCGCTTTCCTTTCCAAAACTAATCCGCTCTCTCAAATCTAGTGAACACATGTGAATCTAGTGCACACATGTGAATCTACACAAGCAAACATACCATAATGCTTGCCCATGGTCCCCTCCCACGTTGCACCCCCAAACCACACCAAACCCAGGGATTCATCAGGAGCCACAAGGACGTGATCCAGCACGCCCAGAACCAGCAGCGCGCCAAGCAGACCCAGAAGCGTCTAGCCGAGCTGGCAGCTCGGGCGTCGCGTGGGTCGTCCCTGGAGCAGGAGGAGCAGCGGCTGGCAGCGCTGCAGGCGCAGGTGCGAGCGCAGGCGCAGACGGTGAAGCGCACGCGGTGGGAGGCGCTGCGCCTGCAGCTAGAGGCGCAGCAGGTGGAAGGGCAGGCGCTGCTGCTGCAGCGCGTGAGACCCGTGGAAGAGGGTGCGGCCGTGGAGACTTAGCTGGGTGTAGCTGGCGTTGATTGGTAGAGCTGGGCTGGTAGAGATATAGAGAGAAGCATTCCTTAGGGACTGCGCTGTTTGTCTTTTATGTGAGTGGCAGTTCCAGGGACAGGTGTGAAATACTAATTTTGTAGCTTTCTTTTATTTATATCACATACAATAGCAGATATACCGCTCCTAGGCATTCAATTTGCCTCAAGCTCAGCCTGTCAGAACTCCAAAGAAGGTCTAGACAGTGCAGTATGTGACCACATATGAGCTACAATCAGATCAGATCAGCACCATGCAGCTGGAACGACTTACTGTAACGGTACCAGCCTTTCCCATCTCTAAACAAGGCCTCGTGGCAGTCCAGACCAGAACCTCAATGCGTCCCTGCCTCTGCTTCTCTTCCAGAGCGTAATTAATACCTTCTACTCAATCACAGCAGCCATCTAAGGCACCACCACACCCCCAGCTCGCGCTCTCCCTCCTTGCCTCTGCCTCTCCAGAGCCGTCTTATACGCAGGCGCAATGGGCGGCTGCACGGGGGCCAGCGGCCGGTACGGCACTTCTGCAGCGTCCGAGTGTGAGGGCGAGTGTGCGTGTGAGAGTGTGGAGGGGAGGTTGAGGGGATAAGACTGGTCTGCATCGTAGCCTGAAAGGTCGCCACACGCCAGGAACGGCACAAACAGCCGATCTGGGCCGTCCAGGCCGGCAGATAGGCAATCTGGGGTTGGGGGGAAATGGAAAAGCCAAGGCAGAAAAGGAAGGGCTTCACGCGGGGTAGGAAAGGAAGGACTTGCTGAAGCATCTGCCACGAGGGGAACGAAACGGGTGCATGGTGGCTGACGAGACAACGCATAGACAAACCTGTCTCCTCTGCATCTCCTCTCCTCTTACAACCGATCCATCTACCCATCCACCACACACACCCTTTCTCCCCATTTCCCTCTCCCATACACATCATCCCTTCTCCACACTCTCCCTGCTCCTGCCACTCAGCTGAGTCTGAGCCTGAACCTCCCGTCTCTCCTCTCACACCTGAGCCTTCAGCGGCTGCTTTGCCAGCAGCGGTGGCAGCAGTGCCGTGTAAGACCTCCCGCAGACGAGAGGGGTGGAATCCCTCTGGGGGGTGGTACCCCCGGCACACCACAAAGGCCTCTGGTGATAGGGGTACCGGGGGGGAGGGGGGAGGGGTTGGTATGGGGAGAGAGGAGGAGGGAGGGGAGTGAGATGGTGGGAGATGGAGCAGGAAGAGCCACGGAGGTGGAAGGGAAGTGGGAGTGGATTGATGAAGGCACGAGGGCTAGACGGCCCTATGGTTCGGGTAGGCTTGGAGACCAATGGTGACACGGTTAAACGGCACGGAGGGTACGAGGCAGCACGGGTAGGCGGCAGCACGGACCGATGGAGGAGTTGCGGCTGGACTTGGGCTTGGCGCAGGTGACGTGGCGGAAGAAGACGCGCAGCTGGCAGTACAGCAGGCTGATGTCCTTGCCGCGAAAGATCTTCGCCACAAACGAGCCCCCGGGGCACAGCGTGTGCGTCACAATCACCAGCGCCTGGGGGGGGAAGGAGAAGCAGGGGAAGGTGGCAGCAGCACAAGGAGCGTTTGGGTTCGGGAGGGAGAATATGGGGAGTAGACAGAAGGAGTAGACACCGAGCATAACAGGTCTTGCGATGATTTGAGGCGAACAGTAACAGATAAGGGTCATGGATCGGCATGAAAGTCGATAGAATCGACGAGCATGCAGGTACAGCAGCAGAGGCAATGGCGTGGGCGTGGAATTGCCCAGGCAAAATAAGTGGAGAGCTTACAGCGAGGATGAGCTGTGCTTGCACGAATTCATCCAAGTCATGGAGCCCCGTGACTGCAGGGGAGGAGAGGGACAAAATGGAGGTGAAAGAAAGAGGAGAAAAAAGTTAAATGAACAGTGCGGGAGAGAGATCAGAGCAAGTGCAGAGATTTGTGTGAATGTGTGTGTGTGTGGGGGGGGGGGGGGGGGGGGGGTTTGGGTGCATGAATGAAATGAGGAGCACACACCATTATTCTGAAAACGCTTGGAAGCGTTGGAAGCGTTGGAAGCGTCTTTTACTAGTGCAGTTTTGCCTCCCAGTGGAGAGCGTGAGTGAAATGAGAACACACACCATCAGGCGCTCCGTCGCATATGATGAGGTCTGCTTGACGCCCTTTAAAGTGATCAATGACCTGCCATGGTATTCACATGCCCCCCCCACTCCCCACACACAAAAACAAACACAAACACTCAGCCGCATTAACAACACCACATGCAGTGAGTAGAACGAAACAAGCTTCGTATGATTTTGAGTCGACTCAAAAGTAGAACGAAACAAGCTTCGTATGATTTTGAGTCGAGTCAAAAGTAGAACGAAACAAGCTTCGTATGATTTTGAGTCGACTCAAAAGTAGAACGAAACAAGCTTCGTATGATTTTGAGTCGAGTCAAAAGTAGAACGAAACAAGCTTCGTATGACTGCCGAGGAGGCAGACAGAGCAGCGGCAGGGAAGAGAACCACGGGGACCTAGCCTCACCAGCTGGGCCGTCGCTGCACTCGTGATGTCTCCCTGAATCTGAATCACCCCTTCAATCGGAGCCATTGGTTGCAAATCAATGGCCACGATCAAGGGAAGCTCGACTGCTGCTGCTCCAGCAGAATCCCGTGTTGCAATCACCCCTTCTGTCTCGACCACCCCTGCCCTCTCTTCCCCCTCCACTGCCTCTGCACCCGCATTCCCTGCACCCGCATTCCCCCCTTCTCTCTCCCCCTCTCTGCCCCCTCCATCACTCCGCCCGGTTTCTGCTGCACCCTGCTGCTCCTGTGCTGCTGTATCCTGCTCCGCTGTCGCTGAAGCTGCTGCTGCTGCTGCTGGCGGTGGTGGTAGTGACGGTGCCGCTGCTCCTGTTGCTCTGGCTGCTTCCGCGGCTGCCTTCTTTGCTGGGAGGTACACACGACGGCTCAACACCTGGAGGGCGAAACGCAGGGAGGGGGCGAGGCGACAACCAAAGTGAAGGCGGACGGGAGGAGGGAGGAAAGGTGAGTGGATCAGCCAACTAAGCTAGCCTGGGCGTGCATTGGAACTGCTGCTGGGAGGAACGCAGCAAGCGACAGACAGTGGACAGGTGTTCTTGGCATGAGAGAAGTTGGAAGCGATTGCATACAGAAATATCGTAGAAGTAAGAAGAAGAGAGCGGATGGAGAAGGGGTGCGGGGATGGAGAGGAAGTGAGGGGGTGGAGAGCTGACCTGGGACCAGCTACCGGGAGCAGCACAAAGATCCACCACTCGAGACACACCTGCACCACACCACACCACACCACACCACACCACACCACACCACAGGGCAGGGGCGCGCAACGAATGCATGGGGCGAATCAGGCAAAACTGACAGCCAAGCGAGCTGAGTCTCTCTTTTCGACCGGGCTGTAACCCTCAACACCTTGCAGGTTGCTAGAACCCTGACCCCTGAACCTTCCCGCACTCCCTCCTCCCATTGCACCAATCCATGTGAGCAGCCCGTAATACCGATGTTTTGCACCGCACCGGACGGCTCCGCGCCGCACCGCACCGCATCGCACCGTAGCGTAGCGTACCGTGGAGGATGTCGAACTCCTCGTCGATCTGCAGCAGCTTGAACGCGCTGCGAGCCCGCCACCCCTCCTCCTTGGCCTTCCGGTAGTAGATGTCCTGTTTGCGGGATCGCAACCACAGGAAAGACGCGTTAAACGGCTAGGTCAGGATAGTAGGCTGCGACGAAATGCACAACTGTAAGAGCGCATGGCGGTGCCGCGACGGCCTAAGATGGCGTGGAGGTAACTGGAGTGAAAGAGGCGGCGAAAGTAAGTGAGTGACGTGGCACAAAGCACACAGCTTACTCTCTTATCCTTGGACGTGCGACCCATGATGGTGTTGTTGGTCAGCTAGGGCTTCAGAATCTGGTATTTTCCCGACCGCACGCACAATTGCACTGGCGCTTACTTGCTCCGCTGAAAGCATGTCCCGTTATGCGCAATTTTTTCAAAACTTGTCAAGATTTCCGTTTTGTGCAATTTGGGTAATTCGTCACTCTGTAAACTTGTGTGCAAAATGTGCTTCAAACGACAATTTTTTGCGAAATCCACCCTCGAAGTTGCCGACCGCCAGCGCGGTTGGGCCACTGAGGAGGTACATTTCAGTCATTCTGTGGGTGGGGTTGGGGACCCCACCAACATTCCCAGGGGCGGCAGCTCTAGTGCCACGTCATCCTGTCACACGAGCGTGAAGCTTGTCTGTTGTGTTGTGACTCCTGGTTGGCTCTTCAGCCGGTATCTCCGCTGACATCAGCAGTGACATCATTGGTGACATCACAGCTGACATCACCTGGGGATGCTCCCATCCATCCAATCACTCCCTGCTTCACGGTTCGCTTTGCTCTGCTGTTGGCGACACTCTCGCACCTCATCCTCCACCAAACGGCCTTCGCATGCACTACCCTGCGACCTCACGAAGCGACGGAAATAGGTAACCCATCTCGGCATCCGCTTCGCCGTACCCTGCGACCAACACGGTTCCCTGTTTCGCCCGAAGCACCTAAACTATCCCTTGCGGCGTTTGGCTCAAGCCATGGCTCCTCCCTCCCCTCCTTGACCTGTGCTTCTCCCTCTCTCCTGTGGCTTCCGCCTTTCGCTTCCCGCCTCCCGTTTATGTTTGCTCAGTTTAGCTCACTTCGGTTTGCCTCGTTACCGTACCTGGTATTTGCCGCTTGTGTTAGTCTCCGTGTCTGATGACGCGACGAATCAAATCAACTAGCCTTTCATTACGACCTCTGGTTGAAATTCTCACAACCAGAACCTAGCGTATGGCGACAATCTTTCGCCGTCGCTGGAAGTAGGGCGTACAGGCTCGCTGCTCGTAGCGTAGCGTCCAGACCAAACTTGTAAACCACTAGGTTTGTCGTAGGGTGGTAACTCTCGTCTTAGTTAGGCTTCGCGCTAGTTCACGAACTCTCGCTGCATCGGCACGTTACCCGTGTTACCACCCAGTTCCGCCGCGCCTCACGGGAGGCCATGGCGACGAGCCCCACTCGCACAGAAACGTCTAACGAAGCCGACCTAGACAAGGTGTCGTATCGCTTTAACCTGCTAAACCGGACCCTCGAACTCTCTTGCTCGTTCTTGCTTTCCTGCATGTCTCTGGACTTCTGTTGGACACCTTCGGGTGAGGAGTCTATTCTTGAGGCGCCTAAAAAATGGACTTCTGTTGGAGCCTTTTTAGAATTCTAAAAAATCACTTATTTTTGTTTCCTGGAATCCTAGTAATTCAAAACGTGGCTTGATGGCTTAAGGTTTCACATTCCTGTAATCCTTCGCTCCTAGATTCGCAATTCTTGTTACACGATTTCTCTCCGCTCTTCGCTTAACGTTCTTCGCCCTCCAGTCTTCACCCTCCATGGCCCTGCCGCTGGCTCTCGTCTCGTCACATCGTCTCCTCCCTTTCGCATTGGCCGCTTGTCCCTTCGGTTCCTTCTCCCTCCCCTCCTATCTTCCCCCCTCCTCGCCCTCACACCCGTTCTCCCTTCCCCCGCACCCCCCCCTTCCGCGGTGCCCCTCGCCTGCAGCGCGCGGGCGGAAAGGATGGCAGTCGGGGAGGTGGCGCGAGCAGTTCGGAGCAGGACCTTACCAAGGGCTCCGACCCCAAGGTGAGCAGGACACAGACCCCCAAGTCTCCAGACTGTTTTCTTGTGCCTCCCTGCTAACCTTGGCCTCTCTTCCGACCTACCCTTGCCCAAAACACCACCACTCTCCCCCCCCCGCCCCCACACACACCTTTCCCCCTATCCCCCTCTCTCTATCGCTTCCCAGCCACTGATTAAAGCATTTCCGTTTCTCTCGATGCCATGCGCACCCCCGCCCTCTTCCCTGGTGCCCGTGTGTGTGCCGTCCTCAGCAGTCCTTGAGGCGCCTGGTGCAGAACCGAGAGGCCGCCAGGAAGAGCCGACTGCGCAAAAAGGTGATTCACGGGCGGGCCCCTTCCGTTCCGCTGGCCGCACCGCACACACCCTCCCCTCCATGCGCCTTCCGCCCTCCTTCCATGTGCCTCTCCTGGTTTAATTTAAGCCAGCGTTTGGTTTGCCTCACCCTTGTGCTTTCCTCTTCCCTCCCCTCACTCCCCTCACTCCCCTCACTCCCCTCACTCCCCTCACTCCCCTCACTCCCCTCACTCCCCTCACTCCCCTCACTCCCCTCACTCCTCTCACTGCCGCCACCGTGCCCTTCATAATCTGGCTATTCACATCAGAGCTTGCTTCCATGCTTTCGCTCCTCCTCTCCTCTCTCGTTCCGTCTCCTCCCGTCTCTCCTCCCATCTGTCCTCCCGTCTCATCTCTTCCCCTCCCTCCCCCCACCTCCCCTCTCCTACACGCATTCGCCTCCCCCCCCCTCTCTCCCTCTTAACCGCACCTCGCTGTGTGTGTATGCCAGGCGTACGTGCAACAGTTGGAGACCAGTCGCAACAGAATGCAGCAGCTGGAGCAGGAGCTGGGTCGCCTGCGCAACCAGGTGCTCACACGTCACACCACAGAGCACACGCCACACGCCACACGCCACACGCCACACGCCACACGCCACATGCCTTAGCTGCGCCAACCTGGTACATCTGACGATGTGCTATGCTAACAACCGGGGAAGGGCTTATGTGAATGCCCCATTCTTCTCCTGCCCTGCAGCCCGCTCATCTCTCTAGGTCGAGGCTTTGGTCTTCTCCGCCTCATCTACCCACACCCTCTCGCGCCCCTCCCTGTTCTCCCCATGGTTTCCCACTCGCAGGTGGCAGTGCAGGGCAGCAGCACGGACCAGTCCCTGTCGCTGTCAGCAGGAGCACAGGGGGGGGCTGGCGCAGTGGCAGTCAACCCCAATGTCAATCCAGGTGTGCTTTTTTAGAATGATTAAAAACATCCGGTGGGTCTGTGGTCTGAGCGCGCCAAGCTGCCAGGGGGGATGCCTGCACTTGGGTGATGCAGGCGAACTTGGGTGCTCAGGTTCGCTCCGATTGAAGGCGAACTTGGGTGCTGTGCGTGCGGTGCAAATGATCTGTCGCATGGTCCAGTTCAGTGCTTCATGGCTTTGTAGAAAAGGCCAGTTTGAGCTGCAAGAATGCGCTCCTGCAATTTGCGTGGTGTGGCCTGGCCTGTTTTTTGAGCCAGGATTGTACCTGTGGCTGTGGCTGTCGAATAAGCACTTGAATAAGCTCCTGCTGTTCCAGAGAGGAACTAGTGCCGCCATCTATCCTGCCCCACCTCCTCACTCCCTTCCTATACGAAACCCCCCCCCCGGTCTGTCCACGCACTGCGGCATATGCTGTGTGTGTGTGTGTGCGTGCGCGCGTGCGTGTAAGAGCAGGCGCGGCGGCGTTTGACATGGAGTATGCGCGGTGGGTGGAGGAGCAGCATCGCATGATGTGCGAGCTCAGATCTGCACTGCAGTCCCGGCTCGGCGACCAGGAACTGTGCGTGCTGGTACGAACCACACACATCCTATCCCATGCCCCACTCATTCTTATTGGATCGTGTCAACCGACCTTTCCCCCTCTTTTCCCCTCCCCCCTTCCCCCCTCCCCCCCCCCCCGTTCCTTCCCCGCTTCTCCCTTCCTCACCTCCCTCTAACCCTTACCCCATTCCCCCCCCTCCACCCTTCCATCCTCCACCCTCCGTCCTCCATCCTCCATCCTCCGTCCTCCATCCTCCACCCTCCGTCCTCCATCCTCCACCCTCCGTCCTCCATCCTCCACCCTCCATCCTCCATCCTCCACCCTCCGTCCTCCATCCTCCACCCTCCGTCCTCCATCCTCCATCCTCCATCCTCCACCCTCCGTCCTCCACCCTCCACCCTCCACCCTCCCCAGTCGCCTCGTCCATGTGTGTCCAACATGCTCGTCTTACTGTCTCCAACATGCTCCCACCTCTCCTCCTCCCCCAGCACCCCACCAGGTGGAGGCCATAATGACGCACTACGACGAGCTGTTCTGCGTGAAGGCACAATCCCTGCTGCTGCTCTCTCTTCATCCCCTCTCCCCCCCTGCGCACGCTTTACATCTTCTCCCCCCCACCAAACCCCCCCCCCCCCCCTCCTCCCCCGGGGCCTTCAGGTGGAGGCGATAATGACGCACTACGACGAGCTGTTCCGCGTGAAGGCGGTGGCGGCGAAGGCGGACGTGTTCCACCTCATCAGCGGCATGTGGAAGACGCCCGCCGAGCGCTGCTTCCTCTGGATGGGCGGCTTCAGGCCCTCCGAGCTCCTCAAGGTTACGCCCACCCATTCCACTCCACTTGCATGCACCTGTCCGCCGTCTCTCATCCCTTGCCTCTGCCTCTCTTTCTGCCAGCTGTGCCCTCCTTTTCTATCAGCTGCTCCCTTCCCATCCTCCTTCCTCTCCTCCTTCCTCCCCCCATCCTTCTCCCTCTCCTTACCTTCTTCCCATCCCCGCTTTTGTCCACCCCACCCCCCCTCCCTCCCCCCCCTGCCTTGCCCTGCAGGTGCTGATCCCGCAGATAGAGCCGCTGACAGAGCAGCAGCTGATGGGCATCTGCAACCTGCAGCAGTCGTCGCAGCAGGCGGAGGACGCGCTCTCCCAGGGCATGGAGGCGCTGCAGCAGTCGCTGGCCGACACGCTCAGCGCGGGGTCGCTGGGGGCGGCCAGCAACGTGGCCAACTACATGGGGCAGATGGCCATGGCCATGGGGAAGCTCAGCACTCTGGAATCGTTCGTCAAGCAGGTGCGAGTGGGAGATGGAGTGGTGAGGGATGGCTGCTGAGTCGACTCTAGAGATGTCGCTGGGGGCAGCCAGCAACGTGGCGAACTGCATGGGGCTGATGGCCATGGGGAAGCTCAGGATGCTCCAGTCGGTCGTCACACAGGTGGGGTGGGCACATGGGGGAGTGGGGATAGGGGTCTTGTTTTCCCCTTGCCCTGGTCTTATCTCCGCGTCACCCACCCGTTAAACCCCCCCGCCCCCGCCCTCTCCCCTCCTTCATCTCTTCCCCTCACTTCCCATGCTTGCATGCCAGGCGGACAGCTTGCGACAGCAGACGCTGCAGCAGATGCACAGGATACTGACCACGCGGCAGGCCGCGCGGGGCCTGCTCGCCATGGGTGACTACTTCGCCCGCCTGCGCGCCCTCAGCTCGCTCTGGGCCGCGCGGCCACGTGACCAGTGATGCGATTTGGATGCTCTGTAGCTGACCTGCCATTGTGGTGATGTGGTGCTGTGGTGCTGTGGTGCTGTGGTGCACTTTCATCCCTTCCATCTGGTCAAGAAGCAGCTATTGGGTGGAGCTAGCACTGGAGCCTGATTCCTTCATACTTGTCTGTGAAGGGGGTTTGCTGCTGGCTGGCTGGCTTGCTTGTTACGGAATTGCTCTTGGTGACGGAGTGAGGGGTGACGGAGTGACGGAGCTGGGTATAGGACAGGGCACTAAGCTATACCCAACGTTCACCAAGCATTCACCCAGCATTGACCCAGTATTCACCCTCCATCCACCCCCCTTTCGCCCTACATTCATCCGTCACTCACCTAACATTCGCCTCGCCCTGCATTCATCCACCATTCACCCATAGGACTACATGGGTGCTGCAGCATGAGGGTGCCTGCAGCTAAACTGCTGAAATACTCTCGAATGCTTGCTCCTCCTGGCCTCCATTCTTAAGCCCAGGTAGCCTTCTGCTCTGCCTAGGTACCTGTCGCTGTTGGGGGATGCTATCTGCTGCTCATTACCGAATCATATGACGGCATGGTAATGATCTAGGCTGTACATAGGTGATTCATTAGTAAAATAAAGAAAGGCTGGTACCGTTTACCCATGCCATGCCAGTTAACGTTTCACTTAGATGCATAGGCTGCTAGCTACTGCTACTTGCCACTGTCTTCCGTTGCACCGCTAGTCTGCGGCTGAAAGTATTCTCTTCGCAGCACCTTTGGTGTGAGAGCATGTGCATCGTTGTCCTCTAATAGCACGCATGGCTCTCTCTAACGCCATGGGAATACGGAGCACAGGCGAGCCCGTTATGTTGCTATAAATGATGCCGGTGCCCAAGGCCTCAGATATCAGGATGTTTTTTTCCTGAATTCCTGATTTTCAGGATGCCTGTTAGGTGCCAAACCTGAAAAATCCGTTTAAGGTCATTTTTCACCCTGTGAATTCAGTTTTAAATCGTAGTGCAACCCTGAGGATTCAGTGAAGTGTTCGTGTACCAGCCCTGAGCTGTCAGTATGCCTCCGGGGACAACCCTGATTCCTCGAATCTTGAATGCACGTGTGCCACAAGGGTAGCCCTATACAGTCTATACAAGCATGATAACTAAACATGTTTGACACACCCCCTGGACTGCATAGGGGAATGTTCTAGACAAGCAGATCAGGGTGGCACTACTAGTCCAGCCTCTGAGACAAGGGTCTAAAAGACCAGTCAGAAGGAGTACAGGCAAGGCAAGAACTAGTACAGGGCGGCACTACTAGTCCAACCACTGTAAGAGGACACAAGTCCAGTCTGAGTGTACACACAGATATATATAGGACAGTACAGAGTCAAGGCCCGAGTAAGTGAGAGACTACAGGAACCAGACCAAGCTGCACACAGTGCCGCTGATGATCTTTAGGCGCAAGCGCCTTCGTAAAGATATCAGCTGTGTTGGCACCGGAGGCTAAGTGTACTACGCGAGCCTGGCGACGCTGCTGTAGCTCACGCAGGAGGAAGTACCGCAGCTGGATGTGCTTCGCTCTGCCCTCGAGTCGAGGCTCCTGACACAGGAGGATCATGGCCCTGTTGTCAGCGTACAGGACCGGGGCAGAGCTAGGCCGCTCACCTAAGTCAGTGAGCAAGAAGGTCAGCCAGCGGAGCTCCTGTGCCGCCATGGCACCGGCGTAGATCTCGGCCTCACAGCTGGACTGGGCAACAGACGAAGAGCGGGTAGCTCTCCACGAGACAGCACCTGAACCAAGGCTAAAGCAGTAGCCCTGGGAAGACCTGAGCGTCTCGGCGTCGTCTGCCCAAGAAGCGTCTGTGTGTCCAGTAAGGACCACTGGCCTGCGTCCGCCTAGCACTAACCCCATGCCCGATGTACTTGCAAGATAACGCAAAACCCTCTTAGCGGCAGACCAGTGCTGAGGTCGGTGCCTGCCTGTGGCCACGAAACGAGCCAGGATGCTGAGAGGGTATGCGAGATCTGGGCGAGTGCAAGTCATCAGGTACATGAGGCAACCCACTAGCTCAGCGTAAGGACCACTGGGATCTACCGACTCCTCAGGAACTGGAGCGGAGAGTCTGTGGTCCAGAGGAAGAGGGGTGGGCTGTGCGGAGGAGAACTGAAGGCCGAACCTCTGAAGGACCTGGCGCACCAAGTGTGACTGAGTCAGGGTGATGGTGCGCGCGGCTCTGTCCCTGGAGATCTGCAAGCCAAGGTAACGGCGCAGCTCTCCAAGGTCAGTGCAGGTGTGTCTCTTCAGCAGCTCTGCCTTCACGGAGGCCAGTGCGTCCCTGTCAGCAGTGGCAAAGACTAGGTCGTCTACGTAGACGAGGATGTAGAACGGAGTCGAGCCAGCACGAACGAAGAGCGAGGGGTCTGCAGAGGACGGAAAGAACTGCAGGTCAGCAAGGGTAGCACGCAAAGTGTCGTGCCACTCACGAGGCGCCTGGCGCAGGCCGTAGACTGGCCGCCGCAGAAGCCACTGGGTCCCAGGGGGGAAGGTGCCAGTAAAGCCCTGAGGGCGACGCAGGTAGACCTGCTCGTGAAGGCTGCCCTGAAGAAAGGCAGTGGAGAAGTCGAGGGAGTGAAGCTCGTAGTCACGCTGAGCCGCTACGTGTAGCAGCACCCGAAGAGTAGTCATCTTCGGGGTAGGAGCGAAAGTCTGAAAGAAGTCCACCCCCTCGCGCTGACTGAAGCCTCTAGCCACGTAGCGCGCCTTGAACACAGGCGGCTCTCCAGGAGGGCGCTTCACCTTGAAGAGCCAACGGCCATCGACCACGTTCACCCCAGGTGGGGGAACTGCGTCGACGAAGGTGCCGGTGGATCTCCAAGATGCCATCTCCTGCTCCATGGCAGCTATCCACTGAGAGGCCCAGGGTCCCGAAACCGCCTCAGCGTAAGTACGAGGGGTCGGGATGTCGAAAGCGTCTGGGTCACCCTCAGGGACTAGCAGCATGGAACAGAGATGGGGAGCAGCCTCGGACAGGAAAGCAAGCTCAAACTGGCGGTCCTCCAGGACGTCACTGCCGAGGGCAGGAGCACCCCCGACAGACGGAGGACAGGCAGGGTGAGAGACCAGAGCGGTGGCGTAGTCAAGGCAGCGGGTAGAGGCGAAGTCAGCGACCGCAGCGACGAGGGCGTCAAGACTCGACACGGGAACAGACGGGTCGGTAACGAGAGAGGCAAGGACCCGAGGAACAAGAGGACGAGCGGCACGAAAGGAGTCGGACAGAGGAGGAGACGCAACGACAAGAGAAGACGGAGGAGGAGACGGGAGGAGGGGAGGTCGAGACGCGTGGGAACGGAGCAACATAGGGTGAGAGCGCGGGACAGGGGAGACAGGACGAGCACGAGAGGGGCGGCGAGACCAGACGTGTGAGGGCGGCGTCGGGTCAGGAGACAGAGGAGGGGACACAGGAGGGGAACGAGGGGGAAGACGAGCCGGGGACGAGTCTGGCAGAGGGAACACGGGGCCGTAGACGGGAAGAGGGGGAGACGGCAGGAGAGGAACAGGCGCAGGGTCAGGAGACGGAAGGCCGAGCAGACGGAGGGCGGACACAGGCGGGGACTGCTGCTGCGGCGACACAACACCAACTCCAGGGCCACAAGCTGCGCGACGGCTACCTCCCGAACCCTCCACACCTGCACCCCCAGAAGGGACACCCCCAGAGTCCACAAACGGCGGCAGCGACGACAGCGGCGGCGGCGGCGGCGGCTGCAGCGACGGCTGCGACGGCGGCGGCGGCGGAGACGACGGCTGCAACGGCGGCGGCGGTGGAGACGACGGCTGCAGCAGCTGCGGCGACGGCGGCTGCGGAGGCGGTGGAGGAGGAGACACCGGGGGAGGGACAGACGGCGAGGACTGCGCCGGAGGACTACCAGAGTCAGAAGACTCGTCGACCGGGACGACCGACGGGAGGGGGGTGACGTGAGACACACCAGAGGGGGCCGGACGGGGGGGCGGGGGGGGGGAGGGGCAGGGACCACCAGGGAGGGAGGAACCAGGAAAAGGGGGGGAGTAACCGGGGGACCACGGTGGGGAAAGCGGCGGTAGAAGGAGACGGACTCGTCAAAGGTGACGTCGCGAGAGTGAAAGAAGCGGTGAGACGGCGGGTGGTAGAAGTGCCAGTCGGACGCGTCAAGGGGGAAACCGAGGAAGACGCAGTGGAGGGTGCGGGCAGCGAGCTTGTCCGTGCCAGAGGCACGAACGTGAGCAAGGCAGCCCCAGACGCGGAACGCAGACGCGTCACCAGGGGACCCGGTCCACAGAAGGGTCGGCGAAACCTGCGGCCGCTGGGGGTGCGGCCACAGGTTAAGCTGGTGAGCGGCGTAGCGCACGGCGAACGGCCACAGAAAATGGGGTGCACCGGCGTGGATCATGGAGGTGCGAGCCACCTCCATGACCAAACCGATGCGTCGCTCAGCGACCCCATTCTGCTGCGGGGAGTCCGGCAGGGTAAGCGTCTGGGTGATGCCCTCCGCACGACAGAAGCGACCAAGGACACCTGAGGCAAACTCGCCACCCCGGTCGGAGTGAAGGCGCAAGGCAGGGAGACCGCGGTGGACACGAGCAGAGACAAGCCAGGGGATGAGAACGTCAGGCACGTCGGCCTTCCGCTCCAGGGGGAAGACCGTGGTGTAGCGCGTGAAGTCGTCGACAAGCACTAGGAAGAAGCGCTCGCGACGCGGCCCATGGACCGGGGCTGGGCCCCAGACGTCCATGTGCAGAGTGTGCAGTGGTGCGGTGGTAGGGGGAAAAGAGGAGGAGTGAGGGGCACGGCGGAGCCGGCCTTCGACACAAGGCGTGCACGGTGGGGCGGGGGAGGAGGGAAACTCGGGGAACGAACCGAGGAGACCAAGGACGAGACCGTGCTGGGACATGTGACGCAGACGTGGGAGTGCAGGGTGACCAAGGCGGTGGTGCCAAAGGAGAGTCGGGTGAGTGAGGGACCGACAGGAGCACGCGGCTGCAACCTGGGTGGACGCAACTACCGGGGGGGAAGACCCAGCCGGGGACGGCGCGGTGTCAAGTGTGAACAGGCCGGACAACGGGTCCCGGGGGAAAGTGGTAAGGGGGGCACCAGTGGCGGCCTCGGTACAGACAGCATACCGCTCGTGACCAGGGAACGTAGTGGTGACGCCAAGGTCCTGGAGGCAGCCGACACCAACTAGGTTCCTGGAGAACGAGGGGATATGCAGACCTGTGAGAGTGCCCGAAGGAACCGCCGGACAGGGAAGGGAGGTGGAACTGCGGGCAACGACGGGACCACCGGAGGGGTCAGCAAGAGTAACTGCAGCGGGAACAGGCAGCGGCGTCAGCGTCGTGGAGTCGCGGAAGAAACACCGGGAGGCGCCAGAGTCCAAGGTGAAGGAAAGCGCAGCAGTCGCGCGAGGCAGCAGTGAAGCGGTGGAAGCACCAAGGCTAAGCAAAGCAGGAGATCCTACGCCTGACGCAGCAGGGGAGTCTACGCTAGGCACCGCTACACTAGGCAACACGGGGTAATAAGAGGGAAGCACACTAGAGTCATCAGCATACATCACATGCAAGGCCGCTACAATGGCATCCATGTCCAAGTCAAAAATCCTAACGCTACGCCTAAGCAAGCTGTGCCAGTCCGG